GAGAAAGGAAATTCTTGTGGCGAATAGCTTATTCTGGGCATGGTCAAGGGTTTGAGGTTCCTATGAGAAATGTGGGTAAGAAATGTTCAGGAAAAAATGGAATATAAAGATCAAGTTGCCAAGCGGTGGCTCATGCCTATAATCCCAGCACTTTGGGAGGTCAAGGTGGGAGAATGGCTTGAGCCTAGGAGTTTGAGATCACCCTGGGCAACATAGCAAGACCCCATCTCTAAAAACAATAAATTAGCCACACAGGGTGGCATGTGCTTGTACTCCTCACTACTTGGGAGGCTGAGGCAGGAGGATCAGTTGAGCCTAGGAGGTCGAGGCTGCAGTGAGCTGTGGTTGTGCTACTATACTACATCGTGGGTGACAGTGAGATCCTGTCTCGAAAAAATAAAAAAGGCCAAGTTCACAAAAGGGATCTAAGCTGGAAATTAAGATGCAGAAGTCATCATTATGTAAGTGGCAGTCTAAGTCTAAGCTCTGGGAATAGTTGAAGTGATTCAATGAGGTTAGATAGTGAAAAGAAAGATGGCTAGGGCTGGATGGACTCTGAGAATACCAAACATTGAAGGAGTATGTGGAGAAAGCAAGCTAGCTTCTAAATGCTGCTCAGAAAGTTTGGCCAGAGATGTAAGGGTATGGTGTTAACAAAGCCAAGGGGAATTAGGTTCCAAGTGTGATGTGCTGCTCCGAGGTAATGAAAGGTAAGGACTGAAAAATGTACACTGAATTGAGCAAGCAGGGTTCTTAGTGGCCTTGGTGAGAATAGTTGCAGCACAGCACTGGGATATTCAGTGGATTTAAGAATAAAGAAAAACTGGCTAAAAAAGAAGACTATAATGAAATAATTGCTTCTTAATGGTAGGGTTATGTGCATTTTTTTGACATTTATATTTCATAGCTCTTTATATTTGCCACATTGAGCATTTATTAATTTAATAATTGAAAAAATAAAATTTAAAAGCCTATAAAGAAATTTATGTCTAGCCTTATAATGTTGTTTCTCTTGTTGGGCAAAGGTAAGTCACTTTCAGACTTCAGGCAGAAACCTTAAAGATAAGGAATTCCTGAATTATATTTTCATACTCTACCCCTCAATCAGTTAAATATATATATTGAGCAGTTACTACACAGCTAATCCTTGTTAGTTGCTGTTTGCTATGAAAGAAGTCCCGCTACCATTCCCAACCCCGGAGGAATTAGTGATTAAATACATTCAATATATTATTAAATTGTCCCGTACAGATATGTAAACCCTGGGGTGGCTGAGTAGCAAGCCTCCATTGATAGGTAGTAAATGCAAAAGGAGTTAATGAAGGGAGGGATCAAGAGGAAGTGTTAGAAGAACAGACTTCTTGAAGAAGGTAATACTTGCATTGCACCTTAAAGGAGGAGAAGGATGTAATAAGTTGGGTGGAAGAAGGGTGAGAGAGCAGAGTGAGGACAAGCGTGGAGTCACTTGTGGGCATGACATGGTATGTGTTATTAGTGAGGACAGCCTTGTGTATGGAAAGCTAAACAGAGGAAATTAGCCAATTCGGTTGTTTTTAAGGAATAATTTTAGATTTTTGAATGGTGACATATGTGTAGGAAGCTTCTAAGCAAGTAGAAACTGGAAGAATGGAATAGTTAGTAATGGATGATGAAACTTTACAGTTGAGAGAGAAAAGTGAGAAGAGAAAAGTGCCAAACTGAGAGAAAAAGCTCTGGTGTCATGGTAAGACCTCTGGGAATTGGGCCCTAACTCTACCACTTAATAAATGGTTCTATGACAATGATCAAGTAAATCCTGTTACCTCTGTGGACTGCCATTTCTTCATCTGTAAAATTAGGAAATTAGGATATCCTGTGACCTCTGTGGACTGCAATTTTTTCATCTATAAAATTAGAAAATTAGGATGGTTGACCTATAAGTTTCTCCCAGCTCTATAATTCTGTGACACTCTTCATGCAATTGTGATGAAATAATTGACAACACTTTATGACTCAATTGGATATGAGAAGGTAAGCAAGTAGAGAAGTCAAGGTGACTTCAACATTTTGAGACTGAGAGAAAAATGTTATTCTTAGTAGAAATGGGGAAATATCAAAGAGGAGTAAGTTTAATAGTTCTGTAATGCTTTTAAAAGTCAAGGGGGAAGTCCAGCAGCTGGAGATGGAACATATTGCTAACGATTTTGCTTAGGCTTTCTTAGGGACTCTTCAATTTTGTCAGTGGTTCCTTTCATTGTTGTCTTTGAGACCACATATCAAGCAAATTGAGTAGCCTTCTTTTTTCTTTTAGTATTTAATTAAGTGCCTTATTGCAAATATCTATCTATTTACTGGACTTGTTTTTATTTCAGGGTCTTTTTTTATTTTTAATTTTTGATTTTTTTTTTTTTTTTTGTAGAGACGGGGTTTGCCATATTGCCCAGGCTGGTCTTGAACTCCTGGGCTCAAGCAATCCTCCCGCCTTGGCCTCCCACAGTGCTAGGATTACAGGCATGTAGCACTACACCCAGCTAATTCAGGCTTCTTAATAGTGTATTTTGTGAACATTTTAATAAATGGAATGACCTTCCTTTCTTTCTGTCTTGCTTTGCTCTGCTCTGCTCTTCTTTCTCTCTCTCTCTGTCTCCCTCTCTCTCTCTTCCTCCTTCCCTCCCTCCCTCTTTCCTGTCCTGTCTTGTCCTTTCCTTAGACTGAGCTTCTTATTGTCCAGGCTGGAATGCAATGGTGCGATCTCTGCTCACTGCAACCTCTGTCTCCTGGGTTCAAGCGATTCTCCTGCCTCAGCCTCCCGAGTAGCTGGTATTACAGGCACCCGCCATCATGCCTGGCTAATTTTTTGTATTTTTAGTAGAGACAGTGTTTCACCATGTTGGTCAGGCTGGTCTCAAACTCCTGACCTCAGGTGATCCACCCGCCTTGGCCTCCCAAAGTGCTGGGAGTGCCCGGCCTGCCTGAGTGACATTTATTAAGTAAATCTAAATGAGCTAGAATTCAGAAAATTCTCTTCAGCATTGTTAACAATCCCTTTTGGAGACACTATGCTAAGTGAAATAAGCCAGGCACAGAAAGATGAATATCATGTATTCTCATTTACATGTGGAATCTGAAAAAGTCAGATTTATGGAAGCAGAAGGTAGAATGGTAGTTGCCAGGGGCTGGGGGTGGGGAGGAAGTGGGAGATAGAGGTCAAAAGGTGCAATTTCTCTTAAACAGGATTAATACATTCTAGAGATCTACTGACAGCATGTAACTATGGTTAATAATAATGAATTGTATGCTTGAAAATTGCTAAGACAGTAAATCTTAAATGTTCTCATCACATAAAAAGATAATTATATGAGGTGATGGATATGCTAGTATCTTGACTGTAATCATTTTACAATGTATACGTATATCAAAATATCACATTGTAAATATATACATTTTTTTTTTCAATTATACCTCAATAAATTAGGAGAAAAAATAGTCACAAAGTGTACATCAATAGTGCTATAATTCTTGTAATTCTTTTTTTTTTTTTTCTTCTGAGACAGTGTCTCACTTTGTCTCACATGCTGGAGTGTAGTGGAGTGATCACGACTCACTGCACACTCTACCTCCTCAGGCTCATGAGATCCTCCCACCTCAGCCTCCTGAGTAACTGAGACTACAGGTGTGTGCCACCACGCCTGGCTAATTTTTGTATTTTTTGTAGGGACAGGATTTTGCCATGTTGCCCAGGCTGGTCTTGAACTCCTGGCCTTAAGCTATCTGCCCATCTCAGCCTCCCAAAGTGCTGGGATAACAGGTGCCAATCACTGCACCTGGCCAATAATTTTGTAATTCTTATATAAATATTTGGAGGATAAAATTATCAATAATTTAAAAACCACAGCAGCTTGTCTGGAAGTAATACGTTATCTTAATGGATTGTTCACAATAAGTTATAGACCAAACTTTTCTTTTTATTTTATTTTTCTGGAGACAGAGTCTTGCTGTGTCACCCAGGCTAGAGTGCAGTGGTGCCATCTAGGTTCACTGCAACCTCCGCTGCCCGGGTTCAAGCGATTCTCCTGCCTCAGCCTCCCGAGTTGCTGGAATTACAGGCATGTACCACCATGCCCAGCCAATTTTTTGTATTTTAGTAGAGATGGGGTTTCACCATGTTGCCTAGGCTAGTCTCAAACTCCTGAGCTCCAGCAATACACCTGCCTTGGCCTCCCAAAGTGCTAGCATTATAGGCCTGAGCCATCACACCCGGCCCAGACCAAACTTATTCCACTTTTTCTCCCCTTCTCACTACTGTACTTGACTAGTCTTTAAAAAAATAATAAAAGAAAAAAGAAAACCATAGTGTTTCTTGGGTTGTCTGCCTTTGGGAGTAAAGCTTGGTACTTTAATTCTTGGAGCTTTTTCTGAGTGGTTTTTTTTTTTTTTGAGACGGAGTCTCGCTCTGTCACCCAGGCTGGAGTGCAGTGGTGCGATCCCGGCTCACTGCAACCTTCGCCTCCCGGGTTCAAGCAATTCTCCTGCCTCAGCCCCTTGAGTGGCTAGGACTCAGGCACATGCCACCTCGCTCGGCTAATTTTTGTATTTTTAATAGAGACGGGGTTTCACCATGTTAACCAGGCTGGTCTCTAACTTCTGACCTGGTGATCCTCCCGCCTTGGCCTCCCAAAGTCCTGGGATTACAGGCGTGAGCCACCGTGCCCAGCCTTCTGAGTGTTTTAAACTTGTACTTCTTGATAATGTATCTTTATAATTGTGCTATACCTTTTTCATATGTTTAATTCTTATTTTCCAAAATAATATTGCTACCTTCAAGGAATTATCTTCTTATTTCTTTAGCCCTTAGTGACCTGGACCTTGATAAATTTTGTTAACCAAATGACCTTGTTTGATAGGTGATTTAATTTTAAAAAAATCAAAACCACCTTCAGCAGATTACCATTTGTTAAGTATTTCTTGAAATGGTTCAATGTAGTTTACTGAATACATTTTTATTGCTTTTTTGTTTATAGAGCTCAAAGCATGCCTGTTGTTAAGGAAGTAAAGGTACATCTGTTAGAAGATGCAGGCATAGAGAAGGATGCTGTTACTCAGGAGACCAGAATTTCACCCAGTGGAATTGATTCAGCTACAACTGTGGCTGCAGCAACTGCTGCTGCCATTGCAACCGCAGCTCCATTGATAAAGGTATATTTTTCCTCCCAGATATTCATAACTACTTTGTGAAATATAGAAGTACTTATTAAGAACTGATTCTATAAATGGTTGTATATAATTATAGACTAGCAACATTGTTGCTCTCAATTTGAAAACATTTTCCCATTTGTGGTTGTGTGTTACTTCTCAGGAATTGTGAAAGTTACCCTCTAATACTGTGATGGCACTAGCGAATTCAGAACTTCCCCAGTTTTAGCACTGAGAGTCCTACATCCTGGGAAACACCTTGGTCCTGGCAACCTGGATAATCGGTTATTCTTATTTGAGAGCTAGAGGAACCTTAGGAACCTTAGAGATAATCTATGCCTTAGCTGTCACTTTGTAAATGGGGAAGCAGAGAAACAGGTCAGAGTAAGCAGGTAAGTCTGGAACGAGTAACTGACAGAGCCAAAACTAGAACTCAAGGCTGCTGACCTAACTCAGCCTTAAGTTAGTAAAGTATCAAAAGCTACTTTGCTTTTCTGTTTTCTTCTTTTTAATTTCCATTTAAGTATCTTGTTTTAGGCATCATAAAATTCTTTGTGGCAGATTTGTTTGAGACAGAGTCTCGCTCTGTAAGCTGAAGTGCAGTGGTGCGATCTCGGCTCACTGCAACCTCCGCCTCCCAGGTTCAAGTGATTCCTCTGCCTCAGCCTCCTGAGTAGCTGGGACTACAGGGCATGCGCCACCATGCCTGGCTAATTTTGTATTTAAGTGGAGACGGGGTTTCACCGTGTTGGTCAGGATCGTCTCAATCTCCTGACCTTATGATCCACCCGCCTCAGCCTCCCAAAGTGCTGGGATTACAGGCGTGAGCCACCGCGCCTGGCCAATTTATTTATTTATTTATTTATTTATTTATTTATTTATTTATTTAATTTTTTGAGAGGAAACATTTACCTAAAGATAGCTATCATCTGCCTTTCATTTATGTGACTCTAAAAATAAAGGCATTAAATCATTAGACATTTAGTGAGTATAAGCTCAAATTTGATAACTTCTCAATGCCAATTGATTTAAATAACATTTCTCGTAATTAGACATATTTTTGGTATCCTATAATGTGAATTTTTAAAAATACTTTTATTGTTTTAGGTGCAGAGTGATTTGGAAGCAAAAGTCAATTCTGTTACAGAATTACTTAGTAAATTACAGGAGACTGATAAACACCTGCAACGTGTTACAGAGCAGCAAACAAGCATTCAGAGTAAACAAGAGAAACTACATTGTCATGATCATGAAAAGCAAATGAATGTGTTTATGGAGCAGCACATAAGGCATCTTGAAAAATTACAACAACAACAAATAGATATTCAGGTATCTGTAATAAAGCCAGTACAGATTCCATAATCTTTTATCATTTGGCTCTCTCAGCTAATATTCATTGATAATTGCAGTAGCTCATTAGATTGTAACAGTTTTAGTTATGAAATCATGATTTGCTTATCTTTCTTCTCCTGTAATGTGGGTAACTCTGCATTTTATATCTCAAATGTTACTAGTTGTGTGAGACCTCTCCCTCTAGTTGGCTTTTCCTCCTTTTACACTATTTTTGTTCATATCATTTTTATTTTTTATTTTTATTTATTTTTTGAGATAGAATCTTGCTATGGTTGCCCAGGCTGAAGTACAGTGGTACAGTCTCCACTCAACTGGTTTCAAGAGATTCTCCTGCCTCAGCCTCCCGTGTAGCTGGGATTACAGGCGCACACCACCACGCCCAGCTAATTTTTGTATTTTTAGTAAAGGTGGGGTTTAACCATGTTGTTCAGGCTGGTCTCGAACTTCTGACCTCAAGTGATCTGCCTTCCTCGGCCTCCCAAAGTGCTAGTGTTACATGCATGAGCTGCCATGCACAGCCACATTTTTAAGTGCTTGTATCACATTGCAACTATTGGTTTACATCAGCAGTTTTTAGTCTGGAAATGTGCACTAGAATTACTTGAACAGCTTTATAAAAATATTTGTGCTTGGGATCTTGGCAGGCCAAGCTGAGAGGATAGCTTGAGGCCAAGAGTCCAAGATCAGCCTGGTTAATGTAGCAAAACCTCATCTCTTAAAAAAAAAAAAAAAATTTAGCCTGGCATGATGGCATGTGCCTGTAGTCCCAGATACTTGAGAGGCTGAGACTGCAGGAGACCGTGAGTCCAGGAGTTTGCGGTTACAGTGAACTATGATAATATACCTGCACTTCATCCCAGATGACAGAGTGAGACCCTATTTCAAAAAAAAAAATTGTGTATATACACACATACCTAGACACACACACGCGCGCACACACACATATACACATTCACAAGCACACACACTTAGGCCTTTCAGAGATTTTGAGCCAGTGATTCCGAGGTAGTGCCTGGCAATCATTGAAAGCTTCATAATGATTCTGATGCACACCCTTGGATAAGAACTACCTAGTGTACATATTTGCTTTTGCATTTAATTAATTAAAATAATGAACATTTTTTAATGCCTTTTGAGAATAAGGCACTGGGCTATTATAAAAAGCATTATCCTCACAAGGAGCTGATAGCATACTTTTGTATTTATTTTGGAATTTCTTTTTTTTTCTTTTTCTTTTTTTTGAGACAGAGTCTAACTCTGTCGCCCAGGCTGGAGTGCAGTGGTGTGATTTCGGCTCACTGCAACCTCCACCTCCCAGGTTCAGTGATTTTCATGTTTCAGTTTCCCGAGTAGCTGGGATTGCCAGCCTGCGCCACCACACCCAGCTAATTTTTGTATTTTCAGTAGAAACAGGTTTTTACTGTGTTGGCCAGACCACTGGCCTCAAGTGATCGACCCATCTTGGCCTCCCATAGTGCTGGAATTATGGACGTGAGCCACCATGCTCAGCCTATTTTGGAATTTCCAATTCCTAGAACACTACTTAGCACTCAGTAAACTTTTTTTTTTTTTTTTTTGAGTGAGTGAGGGAATGATCAGCATTGTAAATGCGTTGGTTTTAATTTACTTTTTTTTCTAATTAATATGAAATTTCTTTTTTTTTTTTTGAGATGGAGTTTCGCTCTTGTAGCCCAAGCTGGAGTGCAATGGTGAGATCTCAGTTCATTGCAACCTCCACCTCCCAGATTCAAGCGATTCTCTTGCCTCAGCCTCCTGAATAGCTGGGATTACAGATGCCCACCACCATGCCCAGCTAACTTTCTATATTTGTAGTAGAGATGGGGTTTCACCATATTGGCCAGGTTGGTCTCAAAACTCCCGACCTCAGGCGATCTGCCTGCCTTGGCCTCCCAAAGTGCTGGGATTACAGGCGTGAGTCACCACGCCTGGCCTACTGTGCAATTTAAAAACTTTAAAAAATTAAAATATAACATTCAGGCCGGGCACGGTGGCTCATCCCTATAATCCAGCACTTTGGGCGGCTGAGGTGGGTGGATCACTTGAGGTCAGGAGTTCAAGACCAGCCTGGCCAACATGGTGAAACCTCGTCTCTACCAAAGATACAAAAAATTAGCTGGGCGTGGTGGCACATGCCTGTAGTCCCAGCTACTCAGGAGGCTGAGGCAGGAGAATCACTTGAACCCGGAAGGCGGAGGTTACAGTGAGTTGAGATTGTGCCACTGTACTCCAGCCTGGGTGACAGAGCGAGACTCTGTCTTAACAACAACAACAACAGCGACGAATATATATATATTGTATATCTATATACATGTGTATCTATACATATGTGTATATGTCTGTTAATGATTTTCTAAATTACATATTTTTTGTTAAGACAAAAATTCAGAAGAATGTACTAAAATAAGTTTATTATACTTAATATATCATCATAAAGTAGACATTAATTTGCTATAATTTTCAAGACTTAACACGGTTTATCTTGAGCTTTTCATGTGGTCAAAGATAATATTTTATTGGAATGATTATATGCATACCAAGTAAAGTTTAGTAAGTACTCCCTGCATGACTAAAATTGAGTATGCAGCAAATTATCTAGTGAGAGACCAGGAATGAGTCTATAAATCTGTTGGTTTGTAGATAACTTTACTATTTTAAGCCTCAATTTCTTTACCTAGAAAATATTTTCTGTTGTTCAGGATAAAACGAGATGACACATTTGAAAAGCACATTTATCCCTTAAGGAGAGACTCCTACTGGTCCTAAGTACTTATCTGCCATCATCCGTCCTTCCATAACTAAATCTATAACTTAATGACTTTCTAATTTTAGAAGAATGGAATCTTTGCTAATTTAGATGTCTTACTTATAAAGCTTATAATTACAGAGAGAGTTGAAGTTTTGGTTACATACTAGATATATTAGTTGTTCAGTAAATGCTTAATGAAATGAAATTAGTTGAGTCTGTTTCATCTGTTTTATGTAGAGGAATCTCAACACACTTTTAGAAATTCTGTACAACTATGAATCTTTTTAAGTTTTTCTTGGCCTGGCATAAAATTCTGTTTTGATTATTACTCATTGCATGCCTGTATCAAAATATTTCATGTGCTCCATAAATATATACACCTACTATGTACCCACAAAAATTAAAACAAAACAATAAAACCCTCTCTTTTGAAACCAGTTTTATTAGTTAAGATACTTGCTTATTTTAGATATTTTATTTTATTTCTGAGATAGAGTCCCGCTCTGTCACCCAGGCTGGAGTGTAGTGGCACCATCTCGGCTCACTGTCACCTCTGTGTCCCGGGTTCAAGTGATTCTCATGCCTCAGCCTCCTGGGTAGCTGGGATTACAGGCTCCCGCCACCACGTTCAGCTAATTTTTGTATTTTTAGGAGAGACGGGTGGAACTCCTGACCTCAGGTGATCCACTTGCCTTGGCCTCCCAAAGTGCTGAGATTACAGGCGTGAGCCACTGTGCCTGGCCCCATTTCAGGTATTTTAATAAATAGTGCTGAAAACTGTGTTGTCAGTGTAGTTTCCATTAATATACAAACACATATTTTATTGCTGCTGCTAAGCATGGGTATTTATTTGAGTACTCACTATCAATGATTTTCAAACCTTGACCTCGAACAAAATCCTACCATTTAGGATATAGAAGATAGGATGTTTTGGTTTAAAATTCTCTGATTCAAGTAGAGGTTTAGGGCAAGGGCCTCTCCTTCCTGGTCTTCTCTTAGCCAGCTGTAGTGGCCCCTTAGCCATGTCTAAGGTAGAAAGAACAACACTGAGGTTTAGAATGGTTAGGGAAAATGATTAAGGTCACACAGCAGAGTCAGGCTTAGTCACATCTTTGTGATTCTACATCTTGCTAATGGCATCGCTGCTGCTACTATAGTGGATAGTTGCAACGTAATATATATTTTTTCATTGTTTATTACATGTAAATTATGTTTAACTCTAATATTTCAATGTATTTTATCATCTAACTCTTTCAAATGATATCTGAAAATAATGAAATAATCTTATTTCTTTTAGACGCATTTTATTAGTGCTGCACTCAAGACTAGTAGTTTTCAGCCTGTTGGTATGCCCTCCTCCAGAGCAGTGGAAAAGTATTCTGTAAAACCAGAACACCCTAATCTTGGTAGCTGTAATGCATCTTTATATAACACATTTGCTTCCAAACAAGGTAAAAATATGTCGTTCTCTGAATAAAAAATGTCAGCTATGAATTTTCTTTGTGCTGCATAAACTGAAAACATATTTCCTGAGCAGTAGGAGTTTTTGTTTTATAAAATTTATTTATAGGAGTTTTTGTTTTATAAAACTATGTGGTGTTTTTTTTTAATGTTCTTTTTTTTAAAATTTTCTTTCTCAGGCTACCTTGTCTTAGATAAAACGCGTTCTTTTTTTTATGTCAAGTAATTTTTAGGTTATTTTGAAATTTTTTAAAATTATGGATTATGTTCTTATCTGTGGTTTTAATTAATAACCTTCATAAATTATCAGAAGCACTTATAAATTTAGGAAAAATTTACTTGTTTACTACAAAAATGCTTGTAAATAAATCAATTCTCCTGTTCTCTGACAAACTGCATATTTGCTCTTTCTTGATTCTGTCAGAGCGACTATCTAACAAAGGAATACATAGCTTATTTGTTAAAACTTTAGTATTTAAAATAAATGAATAAATGTGTTTCTAAGTTATTGATATTTAAATAATGAACTAAAGAAAATCGAGGGACTATCCCTTTAATGATATACAACTCTATATAGTACAATATTTTCAACACTTGATTTGTTAGAACATTGTTGTATTACAGTCATTAAAGATTGCTCACGCTTATAAGGTGCTTTACATTTTGCAGTAAATGAGTGGTCCTTACAAAACTGTTGTGCCCAGCACATTGAGAGGCCAAGATGAGAGGATCACTTGAGCCCAGGAGTTCGAGACCAACCTGGGAAATATAGTGAGATCCTGTCTCTAAAAGTAAAAATAAAAAAATTAGCCAGGTGTGGTAGCACATGCCTGTAGTCCTAGTTACTTCGGAGGCTGAGGTCAGAGGATTGCTTGAGCCCAGGAGGTTGAGGCTTCAGTGAGCTGTGGTCATGCAACTACACTCCAGCCTGGGTGACAGAGCAAGACGCTGTTTCAAAAACAAAAAAGCAAACAACAACAACAAAGAACTGTTGTGAAGTAATATGAGTCCCTTTTTAAGTTATGAAGAGAGGACAATGAAGCACAGAATGGTATGACTTGCCTGCTCAAGGTAAGTCATATCATTCTGTGCTTCATTGTTAACAACAACAACAAAGAACTGTTGTGAAGTAATATGAATCCTTTTTTAAGTTATGAAGAGAGGACAATGAAGCATAGAATGGTATGACTTGCCTGCTCAAGGTTACCTGACTTGAGAGGGAGGATGTCAGAGCTAGGGCCAGAACTCATGTTTCAGTATGACCCACCTGAGTGCCTTCAATAGCAGTGGACACTTTTTTCATAACTCAATTCCAGAGAATTTCTTGCTTATAATTTTGTTTTTCTTAAACTCGAGTTTTCATGAAAAAGGTGTCTATTTTATTGATTGTAAATTGAATTTGTTTCTTTGTATATATGTTACAGTAACAAATAAAAGAAATGAGTAAATTAAAAATTCAGTAAATTAAACTTAATTTTTCTATGCTTTTTCTTGGGCATATATCGTGTTTACATAATTGTAACTGTAGCATTTTATACAGCTTTTTTACTAGCACATAAAAACATCTGCCATATTTTATATAGTTGTCTTCATAATTTTAACTTGTAATGACTAAAGGGTGGCCTATTGAATAACTATTTCACAATCTACTTGACCGTTATCCTGTTTCAGATACTCAGACAGTTTTTAGGTTTGCGTCTTCATAAATAATACTGTAATAAACATCATCATATTTTAAGCACATTTTCTTTTACGTTACTTCCTTATAATAATTTCACAAGATTAAGATTACTAAGTTAAATTATATAAAACTTTAATTCTTCCTATACTTGTTGCCAGATGCTTTATCAGTTTTCACTGCCATGAAAAGTATCTGGCTCTTCCTGTTTCATCACTGCTTCAATAGTTCTGAATACTATCATATAGATTCATATTTACTAGATGTAAGTGTAAAATGTTTGTAGTCTTCATTTCTTTTGATTTTTAATGGGGGTGAAGTTATTTCTCTATACTTGTTAATAATTTATAATTTTGGCTTTATTTTTAAAGTATAGGGAAGAGTAATATGCTATAATTTTTAGAGCTTTTTAAAAGCAAGTTAATTTTTAAAAAATTTTTCTGTTAAAGCATCTTTAAAAGAAGTTGAAGATATGAGTTTTGATAAACAGAAATCTCCTTTGGAGACACCAGCACCTCGCAGATTTGCTCCTGTACCTGTTTCAAGGGATGATGAGCTATCAAAGAGGGAAAATCTTTTGGAAGAAAAAGAAAATATGGAAGTGTCCTGTCACAGAGGTAATAGAGACTTTTACTAGACCTATCCCAAATTAGGAAATTGTCATGAGATTTTCTGTGCCTAGTAGAAACTGAAGTGGGATCTGTATTTGTAATATTTTACTTTAAATGATACTCGCTGGGAAAATCAAGCTTCTTTAGATTCCTCGTGAAAGGAGTTGGAGGTATACATTTATAATTAATTATTCTATCTCTTACAGGTTATTACTTAAACTTTTAATGAACAAGTTTTGTTAATTTTTATTTATTTTTTGTGAGACAGGGTCTCACTCTGTCACCCAGACTGGAGTACAATGGTGTGATCATGGCTCACTGCAGCCTCTACCTCCCCAGGCTTAATTGATCTTCCCACTTCAGCCTCCTGAGTAGCTGGGACTACAGGTACACGCCACCACACCAGGCTAATTTTTGTATTTTTCTTAGAGATGGGGTTTCACTATGTTTCCCAGGCTGGTCACAAACTCCTGGGCTCAAGCGATCTGCCCACCTCAGCCTCCCAAAGTGCTGGGATTACAGATGTGAGCCATTGCGCTTGGCCAAGTTTTGTTATTAATAAACAAAAAACAATGCTTTGCTGAAGGTAAGGCTGATCATTTTTAGAGTGTGCTTCCTCATATTGTTTTTAGGTGTGAATTTCAATAATAAAACGTAGAGAAACAGCATTTATCACCATTTTCACTTGGAAAAAGTGCTGATATATGAACTTTTTTTGAGACGAAGTCTCTCTCTGTCACCCAGCCTGGTGTGCAGTGGCACGATCGCAGCTTGCTGCAACCTCCACCTCCTAGGTTCAAGGGATTCTCCTGCCTCAGCCTCCTGAGTAGCTGGGACTACAGGCGCATGTCACCATACCAGGCTAATTTTTTTGTATTTTTAGTAGAGACGGGGTTTCACTGTGTTAGCCAGCATGGTCTCGATCTCCTGACCCGCCTTGGCCTCCCAGAGTGCTGGGATTATAGGCATGAGCCACTGTGCCCGGCCATATATGAACTTTTTAACACAGAACAGGAACTTTCATAAGGGACGTGTATTAACCAGACATCTTATGTTCTCACTCATAAATGGAAGCTAAGCTATGAGAATGCAGAGCCATAGGAATGATACAATGGACTTTGGGGACTTGTGGGGAAAGGGTGGGAAGGGGGTGAGGGATAAAAGACTACAAATTGGGTTCAGTGTATACTGCTCAGATGATGGGTGCACCAAAATCTCACAAATCACCAATAAAGAACTTACTTACGTAACCAAATACCACCTGTTCCCCAAAAATCTATGGAAATAAATTAAAAGAAAATAGTATGTTACAGTCTTAAAATGTACCCCTTCTAACAAAAGTAAGTGAAATATTAAACTAAACACTTTTATTCTTGGAATAATTTAAATGCATGCAAGTCTTAGGCACATTTAAAGAGTTTTAAGAAAGTCACAAAATAATAAAATCTTTAATAAAGAAGGCAACCTCACACCAAAAATTACTATGTAGTCTTACTACATATAAACAAGGCTAAAGGATAGATCCACTTACTTGGTACTTTGAAGAAAAAGATAAATCTCTTCTTTACTAATTTGTACAAATCATCTATTTTACTGGACTTTGTGATGATGAGACTTCTCAAATTCCTTTTTTCTGTGATGGAAATAAATTTAGGGGTTTTTCTCTTAATTCAAACTTTTACTTACTTGTTTATGTTTTTTTTTTTTTTATAGAGACAGGGTCTTGCTTTGTTGCCCAGGCTGGTCTCAAACTCCTGGCCTTAAGCAATCCTCCTGCCTCGGCCTCCCAGAATGCTGGGATTACAGGCATGAGCCATTGCGCCTGGTTGCGGTATAGTTTTTATGAGGTATAAATATTTAGTTTTATTGGATGAGTGTATTTATAGCCTAAATTGTAGGCTACATTGTAGGCTATACATTTTTTTTCTTTTTTTTTGAGATGGAGTTTCGCTCTTGTTGCCCAGGCTGGAGTGTGATGGCGCGATCTCGGCTCACTGCAACCTCCGCATCCCAGGTTCAAACAATTCTCCTGCCTCAGCCTCCCAAGTAGCTGGGATTACAGGCATGCACCACCACGCCCAGCTAATTTTTTCTATTTGTAGTAGAGACGGGTTTCTCCATGTTAGTCAGGCTGGTCTCAAACTCCCGACCTCAGGTGATCCACCCGCCTCAGCCTCCCAAAGTGCTGTGATTACAGGCGTGAGCCACCACGCCTGGCTTGTAGGCTATAAATTGAGTAGATAATCATCATAAGAAGCTAACTTAGGCCAGAATACGAATATATGAGATGTTATATACAAGATAAATGAATTAGTATTTGGAAAATGATACTACATCTCTTCTATTTCAGGAAATGTAAGACTATTGGAACAAATTTTGAATAATAATGATTCTTTGACAAGAAAAAGTGAATCATCAAATACCACCTCACTAACTAGGTCAAAAATAGGATGGACTCCTGAGAAGACAAACAGGTGACAACAAGAGATTGGAATGAAAACTAGATTGAAAAGAGCTTTCTTCAGATTTTTCACATTTCTTTGGGACTTTTAATAAATTATAGCATTGCTTCTTAAATTTAACTTAGATTTAGTTACTATTTTCTGATGCTAATATATCTTCCCCCTTTCTATAATGTAGCTATGAAATGAATATCTCATTTTTTCAAAATGCAGATTATTAATTTCTAATGTATGCAGATCATTCATTTCTGATTAAATGATATCTAGGATTTGTTTCAAAAAATAATCCAATATAGGGTAGGGGCAAGTAGGTTGGGGAGTATAGATAAAATGAGGCCAACCAAAAGTTAATGATTTTTGTAGTTAAATATTGGGTATATGAGGTTCATTTTAGTATTTTCTATATATTTGTGTATATTTGAAGTTTTACATAATAAAAATTTTTTAAAAAATCAAATCTGGGCCATGATAATTATATTTATCTTCAACATCTTGAAAACTACAGTAATAAAAACTAGAGGAGTATATGTTGAGTAATTTTATATGGAGATACTGTATAATTTCAGTCTATTTACATTTAATGTAATTACTGATAAGGTAGGATTTATGTCTACCGTGTTGCTTTCTATATGCCTTAGGTCTTTTAGGTTCACTGTTCCTTAGTGCCTTCTTTTGTATTAGACATTTTTTAGTTGCACCGTTTTAATTCTTTTGTCATTTACTATTATTTTTTGAGTTATTTTCTTAGTGGTCACTCTAGGAATTACAATTAACATATTAACTTAAAGCAATCTAATTTGGATTAATAGTGATTTAATTTCAGTATTATTCAGAAACTTTGCTCCAGTAAAGCCTCGTTCCCTCCCCTTTTCTTTCTTCTATTATTATCATACAAATTACATCTTTATACGTTATAAGCTCATCTATGTAGTCTGATAATTATTACTTGATGCAGCTGTCTTTTAAATCAAATAGGAAAAGAAAAGAGATACCAACAAAAATATGTATACTAGCTTTTATATTCACCTATATAGTTCATCTTTACCAGTACTCTATTTCTTCATATGGATTCAGGATCCTTTTATTCCATCCTGAAGGATTCCTGATAGTATTTCTTATAGGGTAGGTCTGTTAGCAGTGAATTGTCTCAGTTTTTGTTTATCTGGTATTGTCTTAATTTCTTTTTCACTTTTTTTTGTTGTTTAAACAGACATTTGGTTTCTCATAGTTGTGGAAGCTGGAAGTTCAAGATCAAGGTGCTAGCTGGGTTGGTTTCTTTTGAGGCCTTTCTTCTTGACTTACAGGTGGCCTCCCGCTTGCTGTCTCTTCACATGGTCATCCCTCTCTGCACACACACCCCTGGTGTCCCCTCCTTCACTTTTGAAGGATAGTTTTGCTACATGTAGAATTTTTGGTAGATGTTTTTTTTTCTTTCAGCATTTTGAATATGTCACCTGACTGCCTTCTGGACTCTATGGTTTCTGATGAGGAGTTGTATGTTGGTGTGCTTGATGGTGTCCCACAGGTCTCTAAGACTGTTAATTTTTCTTCATCCATTTTTCTTTCCATTTCTCAGACTGGATAATCTCAATTAGCCTGTCTTAAAGTTTGTTGATTCTTTCTTCTGCCAACTCAAATATGGTGTTGAGCCCCTCTAGTGAATTATACATTTCGGTTATTCTATTTTTCAACTGCAGAATTTCTGTTTGTCTTTTAAAAAATATTTTCTATGTCTTTATTGATCATTCTATATTTGGCAAGACTTCATTCTTACACTTTCTTTTAATTTTAAAACTGGTTTCTTTTAGTAATAGCTGATTTATAGTCTTTGCCTAGTAAGTCTAATATCTGGGATTTCTCAACAGCGGTTTCTTTTGACTGTGCTTTTTTCTGTGTTTGGCTCTACTTTCCTGTTTCTTTGTATGTCTCATAAATTTTTCTTGAAAACTGGGCATTTTAAATAATACAGTGTGGCAGCTCTGGAAATTAGATTCTTTCACCTCCCAGAGTTTATTGTTGTTGCTGTTTGTTTAGTGACTTTCCTGGACTAATTCTGTGAAGTCTGTGTTCTTTGTCATGTGCTCCCACTGAAGTCTCTGTTTTGTTAGCTTAGTCTGCTAATGATTGGAAAGAGATTTCCTTAACTGCCTTGAACTGATAACTCTCCCTCTCTTTGCCATGGAGTGTGTGTGTGTGTGTGTGTGTGTGTGTGTGTGTGTGTGTATGCATGCATGCATGCGTGCGCACACACATGTGCTAGAGCATGCCTCCAGTGCCTGGCAGATTATGAGTCTGTTTTAGCCTTTCACTTCCTACTTGCGCAGAGCCTCAAGGTCAGCCAGAAGTGAGTTATTAGGAACTTCCCAGGTCCCTCTTGGACATGTACATAGCCCTGTATGTGGACTAGAAGGCATGACTTTCTAGATTCCTAGCAATATGTTGGAGCTTTTCAAAACTCCACTATGGACATCTAATTACCTAGATTTTTAACATCTGTTGACCACAGTCTTGTTTGCCCCAACTAGTATCACTACCTCAGGCTGCTGAGATGTTAAACAGTTGCCACTGTTTTTTGAAAAATGCCCTGGGGATAGTTACTCACTGCGCTAAAGTTGAGTCAGGTCAAATAAAGACAAATACTATGAATGAGACTTTTAGGAGAGCTTGAAACCATTCTATTGTCTTTAGTGGTTGTGAGGCTGTTGGTTTTCAAGGCCACCACAGAGTTGGGAATAGGGTCCTGAAGATGAGGCAAGTTAAATAAATTCCATAAAACTTGCTCTTCTTGCCTAGAGTCAGACATTTTTCTTGAATAAATGCTCCTCAGGTTCTTGCAAGTGTTTAATTTCCAGAGGTTAGAGAAACTTGATTTTGATGATTTTTAGAGTTCTAGAGTTCTCATTGTGCTTATGGAGAAGCAGATTTTCAGAAGTTCTTCACCAATCTGGAAGTGCTTCTGGATGTTAGCTTCTTGAAAGCATAACCTTTTCCTGTTCCTTTTCTGCTACGTCTAAACTTTTCTGGTTAGATCATTTTGTCTCTTGTGATTTTCTGTTTCATTTGTTTAATCACGTAACTGATTAATTCCATGGTTCAATTTTTTAATAGGATACCATTTAGTAATCTATAGCTAAGACTGTATCAAAGATTTGTTTAATGAAATGTTTACTGAATTTACAACAATTTAGGAAACTTTTTTAAAAAATCTTCTATAGCGTTGAAACTCTACCTTCTCAAAGATTTCCTTCCTGTGAAGAGCTAGGAACAACTAAAGTGACTCTGCAGAAGTCTGATGATGTTCTTCATGACCTTGGCCAAAAGGAGAAAGAAACAAATAGCGTGGTCCAGGTAAAATGGAAATGGTCTTAAAATTGATGATTAGTTAAGATAAAAATTATAAAGGAATAAAAAAAGTTATAAAGATAGAAATTAGGAGGAAGAATGAAGAAAAAGCACTGAAAAAGACATGTCAGCCATGTCTGTTCCATTTATAAAGTATTTCCAGAGGCCTTCACCAAGTGATTTCTGCTTATCGCTCCTTGACCAGGACTGAGTCATATAGCCACCTCTGGCTTCCCAGCTTCTGTTGGAAAGGGAGGAAGGGGAAAAGAGACCTGTGAATAAATGGACATCATTTATCCAATCCACAGTGTCTGCCCTACCTTCCATACATAAAGAGCCAACTTGCTTTTATTTTATTTTAGCTTTCTTCAGCAGAGAGAGAAATTATTATTGGTCGCTGGACTGCTTAGCACTGCTATGGATTTCCCACCTCTATTTTACTTAACACTCACATTAGTTTGTTGTTGTTGTTGAGACGGAGTCTCACTCTGTTGCCCAGACTGGAGTGCAATGGTGCAATCTCGGCTTACTGCAACCTCCACCTCCCGGGTTCAAGCACTTCTTCTGCCTCAGCCTCCTGAGCAGCTGGGATTACAAGCGTGTGCCACCACACCCAGCTAATTTTTGTATTTTTAGTAGAGACAGGGTTTCACCATGTTGGCCAGGCTGGTCTCAAACTCCTGATCCACCTGAGGAGGCTTGGCCTCCCAAAAGTGTTGGGATTACAGGCATGAGCCACCACGCCTGGCCCATATTAATATTTCTAAATGGAGGAAAAACACTTTGATTGCCAAGTATTCTTTTGTAAGTCTTCAGTTTGACAAATTGAGTCCTTCGTATATATTGGTACAATGTATGGCCTCAACAATAGTGATAGCTGTTGTTTTGATTAAAGGAATCAATGTGAGTTTAGTAACTTTCTGGTCTTTTTTTCTTTTAAGCCAAAAGAATCTCTGAGTATGTTGAAGCTTCCAGATCTACCACAGAATTCTGTTAAGCTTCACACAACCAATACCACACGATCTATATTGAAAGATGCTGAGAAGATTTTGAGAGGAGTACAAAACAATAAAAAAGTACTTGAAGAAAATCTGGAAGCTATTATTCGTGCAAAAGATGGAGCTGCCATGTATTCGCTTATCAATGCTTTATCTACCAACAGGTAAGAGGATGTTGGCAGCCAAGGCTGTTTATGAGTCTGCCAGTTCTGCTTTCTTCACAATTTTTTTCTAAGCACTTTATTTTCCTTAATATGTTTTAATATTTTTAAAAGGTTCTTTATTGCCTTTGAAGATGTGGAACTTATTATAAAGTTGGAATTTGGATATATATATGGTGGTACTACTTTTTTCTGGTGGAAATTTTTCTTTTAATTTTTTCTTTCTTTGGTACATATCTTCTTGGGTCCACATGTGCTTTTCAAACATTTATCCTTCAAATGTTTGATGAAAACTAATACCATTGGTTTTTCCTTTTCAGATGAAGGATATTCGGCCCCCATCCTACTATCCTAATATCCTTTCCTTTTCAGATGAAGGATATTAGGATAGCAGGTTCACAACTACATAAGAGTTAGATCTGATCCAAGTCCTGCTCAGGACAGTAAGTGCTAATTTAAGAAAATTCCTTTTTCTCTTTCGTAGAGAGATGTCAGAGAAAATTAGGATCAGAAAGACAGTGGATGAATGGATTAAAACTATTTCTGCGGAAATTCAGGTATGTCTTGGAAAAAAACTGAAAATTAAGTGAATTCTGAGAAGATAATACTGATTCCGATTTGTAGGCATTACATTTGTTCTCAAAATATTTCTTATATAAAAATCTACTTATTTTTAATTTCACTGTCACTCTTTATATTTACTTAGTAATAAGTTTAGCTTTGTTTAACAAGTACATTATCTCCAATTATATTCTGGCTCTTATTTGGCAAATTGTTGGACAAAAACTAAAACGTGAATAATCTGAAAGAAAATTTAGCAAAAGTGTTTGGAAAAAGAATTATACTTTCAAAGATATTTGAAAACAACAGATTTAGAAGCATTGGCCTGGCAAAGTAAAAATACCAGAGTAATGCAAAGAGGAAAAAAACAACTAGATGTACTAAGTTTACAGAAGTCAATACCAGATGGAAAAACAGCCTCTTTCTCACATCCACAATGGGCATGGTACATCTTCAAACATCCGCATTGAAAAAGTCTGGGAGTTATCTTTCTTAGAGGGTCCATAATGTAAAGGAAATTTAAAATTTTTTTATATTTGAGTGAGCAGAACTAGACAGGCTAAGCTGTTATTATGTCCTGGGGTACAAGGTGTGTTGTTTTGACTGTAGATGAGCTTATGTGCTACTTACAAAGGTAGCAAGGTGAAGTGTCAGTACTGTTTCCACAGCAATAAACACAGAAATATATTTTAAAACTTTGTTGTTTAAAAATATCTACTTCTAATGAACTTACAAAAAATTTATTTTAGGTACTATGTGGTACACACAAAAAAGCTGAACTAAGAGTCAGAAGATTTGGAGTCTAGTTTGCACTCTACAGCTAACTGGCAATATATCTTATTCTTTTGCCACGAATCCCATGTAAAATGTATTTGTTTAAACTTTCACATAATTTTAATTTATATTTATCTCAGAGTTTTGTTACAAAATTGTTTGCCTTTTTTGAAACGTATTTTTAATTTTTTAAACTGTAGCAAAATTCATATGGTTCAATCATCAAAAAGTGTAAAAAGGTTTGTCATGCAAAGTTGTCCTCCTACCCCTGCAACCCTTCTATTATTTCCATTCCCTGCTCCAAAAGATACTAGTATTTTTAGGGTTTTGTTTATTTTTCCAGAGAATTTTTATTTTTATGTATCCAATAAAGCCAATATCCTTTATTTTTAACACATTTAAAACTGCTAAACTGTATTTATATAACAGCAAAAAATAAATTCTAATAGTTTCTGATGTGAAAGCATTACTATTTGCATATATTTTAAGTAATTTTAACTTTGGTTATGTTAAGGATGAACTGTCAAGAACAGATTATGAACAAAAAAGATTTGATCAGAAGAATCAGAGAACCAAGAAAGGTCAGAATATGACTAAAGATATTAGAACCAACACACAAGATAAAACTGTAAACAAATCTGTAATTCCAAGAAAACATTCTCAAAAGCAAATAGAAGAGCATTTTAGAAATCTACCTACAAGGGGCATGCCTACTTCAAGTTTACAGAAAGAGAGAAAGGAAGTAAGATCCTAATCTATTCTTTTAACATAATTGTTGTGTTATAATCGATCATTTCCTTTGAGAGAAATAATGAAGCGAATGTTAAAGGTGTTTTAAAAACATGAAGAACTATACAAATGTAAGTATCTTTACACTATTGATATTTAGGGTTTTGGATTTATAATGTGAAAAGCACTGAACAAAATAGATAGTTCCTTTCTTCTGAGATCTCACACCCTGACATCATCATTTTGTAGTTATAGCAAGTATAAAGGTATATCTAGAGATCATCTAGTCCAAAAAGTAGATTCTCTAGTTTATGGTACCCAAAATTGTGTTTCATTTGTGTGTGTTATGTTTCAGTTTAACAAATGCATGTTTAGTGCCTAGTATATGCAAGGCATGGTACTAGATGGTATGGAGGAAATTTTTTTGACTGCCCTAGGCTATAAGTTTCTAAGTGCCAAACATGGATTGTTGAGCAGATCAGTAAAGCATCTAATTCAATGCTTGGTACTTAGTAGATGCTCAATAAATGCTACCTTTCTGTGACATTTAGATTATGGTTGAAGGCGGATTCAGAAATATATAAAATTATTTAAAGGTTAAGGTTACTGTATTTTTATTGTACTGGAGTAAATATGTAAAATGTGTTTAAATGTTTCTTGTTGGTGCTGAAAATATACTTAGTAATGTAAAAATTTTCATGTTTCTTAGGTGGATGATTTTTGTATTTAAAGCTTTTCAAACTAATACTTGAAACCTGTATCTAGAACTTAAGGGCTGTTTAAAATAGAGGTTATGTTTGACCTAATCATTCTTATTATAATACTTAAGCTAGCAAAAGGAGGCTTTAGAAAAATGAGATAAGTGTTTGATGACTATTTTCGTGGTGAGTTGAATAACTTTGTACACATAGGGGCTTTTGAAAGCAACCACAGTAATACAAGATGAAGATTATATGTTACAAGTCTATGGAAAGCCAGTTTATCAGGGCCATCGAAGCACTCTTAAAAAAGGACCATATCTCAGATTTAATTCTCCATCTCCTAAGTCCAAACCACAGAGACCAAAAGTAATAGAACGAGTTAAAGGTAAGGAATCTCATTTTCTATGTTTAATCTCATTTCTTAATAGTATCAGTTTAATACATAAAGTTTCTTTTCGTTTTTTATATTTATAGCTTATACTTGCTGTTCAAATTATATAATGCTTGGGGATGGAAAAATAGTTCCTCTTTGGAGAGGTGAGAAGAAATACACCAACATTTAAAAATCAGACACAGCCTAGGTATAATTGGGAAGAAATGTAGAATTAAATGGCATCTTCAGATAAAGCATCATAAAATTTTTATTTAGGAGAAAATGATTTTTTTTTCTTTTTTAAAGACAGGGTCTCACTCTATCCCCCAGGCTGGAGTGCGGTGGCACAATCATGGTTCACTGCAGCCTCAACCTACTGGAGTCAAGCGATCCTCCCTCCTCAGCCTCCCAAGTAGCTGGGATGACAGACGCGCACTACCACGCCTGGCTAATTTTTTTGTATTTTTTGTAGAGACACAGTTTTGCCACATTGCCCGGGCTGGGTGATGATGAATCTTGAGCATCTAAATTATAATCTAGGAAAGGAGACATTTCCCTGAAGACCTTGGTCCGTTATGAACAGAAAGATCAGCCATATACTGTTTATTATCGTAAACGTGTTGATGAGCATTTTTGCAGTTTTGTTTGTTTTCAAAGAAACTTAGGTAGAAAGGTGAAAACTGTTTTGCTTTTGTGCACAACTGAAAACATCTTCATTTATCACTGTGTGTTTTGAGTCACATCTACTGTTTCACTGGTACTGCATATTTAAATACAACTCTTGGTTATATACTAAGTCTGTTGACTTTGGTTATGTATTATAGTTTCTCAGCTTCTACTTGGCAATCAGTAAACTAAAGCTGACAATATGTGATAACTAGTAGATACAAACCTATTTTCCTCTTTTATCCTTTCTAGAAGTTGGAGCTCTGGTGGTTACTTTGGTTCCCTTTCCTTTCTAAAGGTTATGCGATCATATAGAGTGTTAGGTTATATAGAAATTTTACTAATTTAAAATAGAAAGCATATAGCTTATGGGTGATATTTATCCTAATGGATGATATTTACCCTAAAGTTTTCTCTTATTTAGTGTAGCTTTGCTTTTTTTTTTTTTTTTGATGGAGTCTTGCTCTGTCATCCGGGCTGTAGTGCAGTGGCACGATCTTGGCTCACTGCAACCTCCACCTCCCAGGTTCAGATGATTCTCTTGCCTCAGCCTCCCGAGTAGCCATGACACCCAGCAAATTTTTTTTTGTATTTTTATTAGAGACAGGATTTCGCCATGTTGGCCAGGCTGGTCTTGAACTCCTGACCTCAGGTGATCCACCTGCCTCAGCCTCCCAGAGTGCTGGGATTACAGGCATGAGCCACCGTGCCCGGCCTAGTGTAGCTTTGCTATTAATTTATATGTGGGGTTTTGAAAGTCTTTGCAAAAAATAATTTGAGACTTTAAAATGCTTTCAAATCCAAAAATAACTTTATTCAGTAACCCTTTTAATGATCAGAAGTGATTGAGTGCCTGTATTTAGTTCATTTTCATACAGCTATAAAGAACTACCTGAGACTGGGTAATTTATAAAGACAAGAAGGTGGAATTGACTCACAGTTCCACATCTCTGGGGAGGCCTCAGGAAACTTACAGTAATGGCAAAGGGAAGCAAGGCACATCTTACATGGCAGCAGGGGAGAGGGAGCAAAGGAAGCCATGCTCTTTTAAACTATCAGATCTCATGATAACTCACTCTCTATCACAATAACAAATTAGGGGAAACTGCCCCCATGATTTAGTCGTCTCCCACCAGGTCTCTCCCGTGACACATGGGGATCAATTTGAGATGAGATTTGGGTAGGGACACAGAGCCAAGCCATATCAGAACCTAGGGACTTATGCTCATCCTAAGGCCTCAGTCCCTCTTTTTTCCTCCGTCTGGAGAGCTCTTCGTTCAGGCACTTGCATGGTTCTCCCTCTCAATTCTTCCGTCTCTGCTCTTAGATGATAGCTCCTTGGAGAGCTCTACCCTGACCATTCTATTCTAAGAATTATCTTCTGTTCCTCTTTATCTCCTCACCCTGCCATATTGTTCTTCATAGCACTTCACACTTCCTGTGTTATATTTTTGTTTATTTGTTTGATTTATTATTTATATTATTTATTTGTCACTACTAGACTATAAGCTCTATGAGTACAGTTGGTTTAGTCATCTCTGTATTCCTTGTGCCTGAAACAATGTTTAACACATAGTAGATGCTGAACAGACATTTTAAATACTCAAGAAAAATATTCATTCAATAGAATGAATGAGTATCAGAGAACAAGATGAAAGAATATAGACATGGTATGACAATTTTTCTTCCTGGGATCATAAACAAAAGGAAACAATATTTAAAAGTCTGGGTGTGTAGGTTGGGCACAGTGACTCATGCCTGTATTCCCAGCACTTTGGGAGGCTGAGGCAGGAAGATTGCTCGAGACCCGGTGTTCAAGACCAGCCTCAGCAACATAGCTAGATCCTGTCTCTACAATAAATTAAAAAAATTAGCCGGGCATGCCTGTAGTCCCAGCTACTTGGGAGGCTGAGGTGGGAGGATTGCTTCAGCACTTGAGCTTAGGAGTTCAAGTTTGCAGTGAGCTATGATAGTGTCACTGCACTCCAGCCTGGGCAACTGAGCAAGACCCTGTCTCTAAAAAAGAATTAGATACACAAAAACACCCACATGTGAAGTGGAAGCATAGATGACGGTCTGAGACATCACCACCAACCTGGGCACTGGGGAGATGGCGAAGACTGACCCCAAGACCTTGCAGGACCTCACCTCGGTGGTGTAGACACCGCTGCAGCAGACGCAAGATAAATTTCAGACTATGTCTGACCAGATCATTGGGGAGAATTGATGATATGAGTAGTCACATTGATGATCTGGAGAAGAACATCACAAACCCTATGACACAGGCTGGGGTGGAAGAACTGGAAGGTGAAAACAAGATACCTGCCACACACAAGAGTTGAGAGTTGCTAATAATTTATAATGGAATCTGGAATATCATTTTTCTGATCCAAGAGAAGATTGAGTGACTTTTTTCAGCTAACTACTGTGTGTAGACAGGTTTTATATTATAAAGCATACATTCTTATCACATACTATATAGTTAGTTTATAGAGCAGTTTACCCACCACTTTCTTGAACATGGTATCTTCACATCTTGGACCTTGGTCAGTTGTGCTATTATTAAACACTAAAACTTTGGCAGTTCCTGCATTTTTTTTTTTTTGAAAGCACCCGCATATTAAAAGTAAAAATGTAATGTTAGGAAATTATTTAGAAAATATTTTAGCCTCTTTTCCTTTGCCCTTTTACTTTATTCTTTATTTTATGTGTGTGTGTGTGTTCCATAGACACTTATCCACTTCTCCAAAGAGAAATAAAATCAAATTTTTATTTTTTTTAAGATTTAGGATATAATGACTATATGTGTATGTATACATCATAGGACAGAAAAAAAAATGTACAGTAGTCCCCCTTATTCATGGGGGATATGTTCCAATACCCTCAATGGATGCCTAAAACTGGATAGTACCAAGCTCTAACATGTACTATGTTCTTTTAATCTGACAACTGAGATGGCAACTAAGTTATTAATGGGCAGGTAGTGTCTACAGTGTAGAGACCCTGGACAAAGGGATGATTCATGTCCTGGGCAGGATGGAGCAGGATGGCATGAGATTTTATCGTGCTACTCAGAACAGCGTACACTGTAAAACTTATGACTTAGCCAGGCGTGGTGGCATGCATCTGTGGTCTCAGCTACTCGGGAGGCTAGGGTGGCAAGATCACTTGAGCCTGGGAGGCAGAGGTTGCATTGAGCTGAGATCGCACCACTGCACTCCAGCCTGGGTGGAGTGAGACTCCATCTAAAAATAAATAAATAATTTTTAAAAACTTATGAATTGTTTATTTCTCGAATTTTCCATTTAATATTTTCCAGCCAAGGTTGACCTTGGGTAACTGAGACAGGGAAAGAGAAACCACAGATAAGGAGAAACTACTGTATAATGATATTAGTAAGGTTTAAGTAAGTATAGAAACCGATTATCTGTACATATTTTAAAAGGATAAAAGCTGGTTATTCAGAATTATGTTGTGTGTAAAGGTGTAATGAGAAAATGAAAATCATCAATTCCAAAAATGATCGTTAACTCTTTCGTACCTATGGAAAAAAATTTAAAGAATTCAAACGTCGTTGGAATATTCTTCAGAATCTTTAAAATTTTTTTCTAGTTATTGTATCTATTTTGTCATAGTAGCTGTACAAGTTGTATATCTATTCAGGGGCTGGCAACTGTGGCCTACACATGAGCTGCCTGTTTTTATAAAGTTTCCTTTGCCTCTAACTGTGTTCATTCATGTATATATTGTCCATGGCTTCTTTCATGATACAACAGCAGAACTGAGTCATTACAGCTGAGATCACGTGGCTTGCCAGACAGATATTTACTATCTGGCCATTTAAGAAGTTTGCCACCTCTAGTCTATATATTACTTCTGTTTTGGGGCCTTGTAACCTTATATATAGAATTAAGATTTTTCTGTGAAGAGCTGTTGTATTTCTAGATGTCTGGATAGTAGATATTCTAACAATATTTTAAAATATCTGCCATTGGTGATTATTTTAGGCACTAAGGTAAAGTCAATAAGAACACAGACTGACTCCTATGCAACAAAACCTATGAAGATAGATTCTAAAATGAAACATTCCGTTCCTATGTTACCTCATGGCGATCAGCAGTATTTGTTTAGCCCAAGTAGAGAAATGCCTACTTTTTCAGGTACACTGGAAGGTCATCTGATTCCCATGGCAATTCTTTTAGGTAAGAATCAACAAAATATGTGGGATGAATTTAATTTTATTTATTTATTTGTTTGTTTGTTTGTTTATTTATTAGAGACGGGGTTTCGCTATGTGGCTCAGGCTGGTCTGGAACTCCTGGACTCAAGCAATCCGCCCACCTCAACCTCTCAAAGTGCTGGGATTACAGGCATGAGCCACCATGCCCAGCCAGTGAATTTTAAATTCTTATCAGCAGTAGCAGAACTTACAAAATGGTACTAACATGATAGTCATCTACCTTTTCCTGTAAATGTTATTTGTTTTTTGGGGGAGGGCCTCAGAATATGTTTTATGCTGTGTAATAGCAATCTCTGAAATGATGGGTTCCTGCTATAGTTTCACCAACAGGAAAAATTCTTTTGGTGTGTTATGGTATATTATTGTAGATGAAATGAAATTTTAAACAATGTTTTGGCTGGGCACAGTGGCTCATGCCTTTAATCACAGTACTTTGGGAAGCCGAGATGGGAGGACTGCTTGAGACCAGGAGTTTGAGACCAGCCTGGGCAACATAGCAAGACCTTGTCTCAAAAAAAAAAAAAATAGCTGGGCTTGGTGGCTCACACCTGTAGTCCTAGCTACTCTGGAGGCTGAAGCAGGAGAATCCCTTCAGCCCAGGAGTTTGAGGCTGCGGTGAGTGATGATTATGCCACTGTACTCCAGTCTGGACAACAGAGCAAGACCCTGTCTCTTGAAAAAAAAAAGTTAAATATGTCATGGACATTCATAATAATTCAAGAGGTTTGATTGTCTTGTTAATATCATTATGTCTTTGGGGAAGTATTAAGGTACTTTTTTTGGTACTTTTGAACTAGGCTATCATAAGTGAAAGCTGTGTGGGTGTGTAATCTAAGCCAATAGTTGTTTGTTTACTTACTTGCCTTCTCTCTGAGTCATCATGTTAAAAATTGAACAGATCATTTTTGTCCTCACACCAGCTCTTCAAGTCTAATTAGCTCTTTTTGCCCTTTACTGTTATTGCTGTTCTTTTGTTTTGATTAACAGTAAGTATGAATATTTTTTAACATAAGAGAATTTTTTATGTTTGATATTATGGGTTAATGGCATGTCAACATAATAGCTCTCTGTTTAAACATATATTCTAGTAATAAAATAGCTAACACTTTTAAAGTCCTTACTGTGTGCCAGGTACAGTTCTGGGCATTTTACATATATTCTTTCATTTAATCCACCCTATAAAGCACATGGTAATATACAAATTGTATACCTAAGGAAACTGAAGCACAAAAGGGTTACATACTTTGTCAAAGGCCACACAGCTAGAGTGGTGCCAGGATTCAAACCCAGGCAGAGACAGTCTGGCTTTATAGTCTGTGTTTTCAACAAGTACACTGTACTGCCCCTCTTTACTTTTGATATGTAGAAAACAAATGGGACTTTGGAAGTGAAAGTTGTTGACATTTTAAAATGTGGATAATATTAATAGCTTTCTATTAGCCTTTATTTTGAGGATTAAATGAGATAGTGATGTGAAGTGTTTAGTACGTATAAATGCCTAATAAAAGTCACTGGGTATGGTGAGTATGTCGACAATGCTGATGATGGAGGGAGAGGTGATTGTCAGATAGGGCTTTTTAAAATATGAGAATATAGCCATTAAGATCCAGCTGGTGTATTAGACTTTTCCCTTTTTTTCTGAACTAGTTGACTTATTTTTTCCCCTAAACTTCTTAGGACAAACCCAAAGTAATAGTGATACCATGCCACCTGCTGGAGTGATTATCAGCAAGCCACACCCTGTAACTGTGACTACTTCTATTCCTCCATCATCTCGAAAAGTAGAAACTGGAGTAAAGAAACCTAACATAGCTGTTGTAGAAATGAAGTCAGAAAAAAAGGATCCTCCTCAGCTTACTGTACAGGTATGCCAGGGTGCATGAGTAGAAAATTTTAAGGAAGAAAAATTTTTTTTGCTTAATGTTAGTACAGAAATCCATTATATTGCTTCATGAAAATATTGCTTTTTATCATGGCTCCTTTTATTTTAAAATTTATTTTTATTTTTTAGACAGAGTTTCGCTCTTGTCACCCAGGCTGGAGGGCAATGGTGCAGTCTCAGCTCACTGCAACCTCTGCCTCCTGGGTTCAAGTGATTCTCCTGCCTCAGCCTCCCGAGTAGCTGGGATTACAGGCGCCTGCCACCACGCCCGGCTAATTTTTTTGTATTTTTTTTCTGTAGAGATGTGGTTTCACAGGTTAGCCAGGCTTGTCTCAAACTCCTGACCTCAGGTGACCCACCTGCCTTGGCCTCCCAAAGTGCTGGGATTACAGACATGAGCCACTGTGCCCAGCCAGCTCTGTTATTTTTTAAACTGTAATATTAATGTGATGTTTCTATCCTGTTTTGCATGATTTAAGCTGCTCTTCTAGGCCAATGACTTATATACAAGTGGCTTGATGATATTCCAAAGGGAACAATTTAACCGTGTATTATAATTAATTTTAAAAAGTTAATATATGTGACTTATATAATTAATACTTCAAACTTTACACTAGCATATGTTAGAAGATTTGAATGAATGCAAGACTTAAACAGCCTCATGTGGGAAGAAACCCTTTGACATTTCACATTCAAACATCTGCCCTTCAGCCTGGGATCCAGCTGTAGAAGCTGAGGTCTTCACCAGGTCTGGACAAAAATGAACAGGAGTGTTTACATGTGACTTTCTATTGACCAGTCAGGAGGCAACTGTAGGAAAGTGTTCATGAACTATGGTAAACTTTTTGGCTGATTTACTCCAACCCCTGTGTTCATCTTACCATCCTTGCTTACTTACAAATAATTAGAACACTCCAGTCCTTAGACTGCTCCTGGGTTCCTCTTGTGATTGAGCCAGGACAAATGAGTTTTCTTGGGCAACTTAGTATGCCCTCTGGGAAGAGAGAAGACTTGCCTCATTCTTGTATCCTGACCGCTGAGGAGAAGATAATCCTGGAGCTGCCAGATGCCACCACATGAACAGTCAACAGCCTCTTAGTACTGATTTTTGACTGGACACTCCTCCCTGAACAAACGAACCATCCATTTCTTCTGCACAAATTTATACAGAACAGCCTCAACCCACCAGCTTGAGAGATTCCCAGGGACTTAGAAATCGCCCATGTAGCTCCACAAACACTTCATTCTCATAGAGTGACTTCTGCCCTGCAGCTAAAATTGACAGTGTGTTTTCACAGCCAAGTTGTTAGGGCTGAGGCAGCCAGTGGGTCTCAGGAAGATTCCTGGCCCTGTGCTTGAGAGGAGCAAACACACAATAAAGCCCTGGCCTGGAGCAGAACCTTTCAACTCCCAGTCATATTTGCAGGGCAAGGAACTCCCAACATGAACCCAAATGTGTTCCTCACTTACAGCAGTCTTTGGGCATCCTTCTGACAGTGTAGGCTCACTAACCCAGCCGTGCAGCAGCTATGGAGGCTTTGGGGGACCTGGGGACACTTTAACCTGGACAGCAACCTGAGCCAAGTGCAAACCCAGTCAATGTGTATTGAATGAATGAGCATCACTAGCACAGTCAGTTCATGGAGGAAATTAGAGGATCTAGATCGGGGGAAAAAATCCTAAATTAAAAGGCAAACAACACACAGTAAGAACATATGAAAGGAAGATGCGGCCGGGCGCGGTGGCTCAAGCCTGTAATCCCAGCACTTTGGGAGGCTGAGACCAGCGGATCACGAGGTCAGGAGATCGAGACCACCCTGGCTAACACGGTGAAACCCCATCTCTACTAAAAAATACAAAAAACTAGCCGGGCGAGGTGGCGGGCATCTGTAGTCCCAGCTACTCGGGAGGCTGAGGCAGGAGAATGGCGTAAACTGGAGAGGCGGAGCTTGCAGTGAGCTGAGATCCGGCCACTGCACTCCAGCCTGGGCGACAGAGCGAGACTCCGTCTAAAAAAAAAAAAAAAAAAAGAAAGGAAGATGCTAGTAAAGCATTAATTTTTAAATATAAAGATCTCCATAAATTAATAAGAAAACACAGATCCAAGTCTAGAAATGTTCAAAGGACATGAATAAGACTCTACAAAAGAGGAAGTACAGTTTATCAGCAAGCAAACTAAATAAATTTTGCCAGTAACCAAGATAATGCAAATTAAAATAACAGTAATATGCATCCATTTAAAAACTGTTATTGCTGAAACAATCATATTATCTAATTTTGGTGAGGGTTGGGTAAAACTTAGAATTAATTATGTTTTCGATGATGTAAATAGAGGTTGTTAGGATTACATTTCACCAGTACTTCCAAGAATCTTAAGTATTCGTGTCCTGTGGCCCAGAAAGTTAATCCAATATCTGGCTATCTAGCATAGTGAATTAATTTAGAGTTTAGAGTTTAGGAAGAAGATTGTGTGTGTGTAAGTTTTTTTTGTAGTGATATATATATAATAGTGGAAAAACTGGAAATTTTCTAAATTTTTCTAATTGAAACATAATTAAATAATTAAGACATGTTTGTTGAAATGTTATATAGTCATTTAAAAATATAATTATGAAGTCTATACAAAAGCATGATAAGTGTTTATGGTTCTTCATTGTAATCACAATGAAAAATCAAGAATGAAAACTATTTTAAATTTTAGTTACATATAAGTAGATAGTAAAAGACAAAGGGAATAGTGAAAATGAAGTTATCTTCAGATAGAATTTTGTGTTTTTCTTTTTTTCATATTTTATAAAATATGCTTTCATAATTTAAAAATTTTGTTATCCATTGGCTTCACAATAAAAACTTAAAGGGCATGCTTTGTTTTTATGTATATGTATATATATACACACACATACATGTACATGTATATATACATACTTATAAAAGTATTTGAGTAAAAATGATAAACAGAAAACTGAATGTTGTATTTTGTTGTAGGTATTACCCAGTGTAGATATTGACAGCATTTCAAATGGTAGCACTGATGTCGGTTCACCTCTGTCTAGTCCCAAAGAAGCATCTCTTCCTCCTGTGCAAGCTTGGATAAAGGTATGTTTTAGAATTTTATCATATTATTTTGAGTAATGTAATGTCTGACTGTAGATTTTAGCTAATGTTACTCCGTTTAAAGCCTTTTATCATAATGATAACTTATTATAATAATTTATATTTTGAGGGAAAGATTCAAAACAATTTTTTTTTTTTTTTTTGTTTAGACAGAGTCTTGCTCTGTTGCCCAGTCTAGAGTGCAGTGGTGAGATCTCGGCTCACTGCAACCTCCACCTCCTGGGTTCAACCAATTCTTCTGCCTCAGAGCTGGTATTACAGGTGCCTGCCACCATGCCCAGCTCATTTTTGTATTTTCAGTAGAGACAGGGTTTGACCATGTTGGCCAGGCTGGTCTTGAACTCCTGACTTCAAGTGATCCCTCTGCCTCGGCCTCCCAAGTTCTGGGATTACAGGCGTGAGCCACCACACCAGCCCAAAACAAATTTTGAGTTGTTTATGAACTTGTTTGTTTCAGATCCTCACATTTGTAACTATTTGGAAAGTGATAATCTTTAGTGTAAACTTTTTGGTAATTTAAGTTGTGAAACTCTCATGTGAAGAAAGAATTTCTGTCTCTTTGGTGATGAATCTTTGATTTACATGGGAATTATAGATTTTCTAAGTGTGAATTTTATAGTGACAGGTGGAGTTTATATTTTGGAATGTTACCTTGTTACCCTACTGTTGACATGATACAAAAATATGCATTTCTTTCTGGTATTTATTTGCTTTTGAATAATGAAGTTATGGCTTTACTACACAGCAAAATAGCACTGTAACTTACCCCAGTTAAGTTTATTTATTTTATTTGTTTATTGTAAGCAAATTTGGCCGAGGATACAGTTTTAAAAGGAGAGGCAACACCAGCAATCTTTCATGATCACAAGTAATGAAATGGAACTGACCCTAAGTGACATTTGTGCTTAATTGAATTTTTTCATCAGTAATTTTTTTAGCCTTCTGTTTATTGAAACTTCTGTGATAACAAGTAATAAATTTTTAGACTGTTTATCATTCTGCTCTCAGTAAAAGGCTATTGCATGACTATATTTTATATAATGAGGCCTAAAGGTTAGATTTGTAAAATGACTATTTTGGTTTTTTTTCCTGAATTATTTGATTCTGTATCTGTCTTTGTGTGAGTTTGTGTTTGTTTATACTTAGATATCTACACATGTAAACACTTTTCTTTATCTTAATTCTAGAAGAGAAGTCTCAATTATATCAACCTGTTGACCAATTAAGTGATATTGCTGATGGAGTCCTTTACAGAAAAATAGCTGATTAATTTTTTAAAGCTATTGAAACGTTGACCTAATGGCTTGGGGACTAGCTTGGATTTCATTTACTAATTAAATCAATTCTGAATAGGGTATTAAAATGATAAAAAAGGACCATGTAATTATAAGCTTATACTATAGGTGGAAATATGATAAATTACTTATAAATTTTAAAAGTGTTAAGCACAACAAACACTTTCTGAAAATGCTTTCTTAGACTCCAGAAATTATGAAGGTAGATGAAGAAGAGGTGAAGTTTCCAGGAACTAACTTTGATGAAATAATCGATGTCGTACAGGTAACAAACCTTAGAAACCATGAGAAATTATTTTTCTACCAGTATGTTTCCAGGTTGTTGACTGTCTTTGAACTATCAATATCATGTTACAGTGCTTTGAGATACTTTCTTTTACTTTTGAGTTAAATATACTTTTATTTTAAAAATTATAAAGTTGTTATTCTAGAATGTCTTTCGTCTGTATCACCTATCTGCCTTCATGATTATCTGCCGTTTCCCACCTAGATTTTGTCTATCTAGTTTCTTGCTTTCTTCTTTCTTTCCACTTCCTTTGGCTCCTTTTCCTCCAGTTTGTCTTTTTTTTCATTCTATTACGTTTATCTATTTTGATTTTTGGATTTGTGGTGAAGTGACCAGTTAATTAATATTGAGAAAAAAGTTGTGAGGAATCTACAATCCAAAGGAATATCCCATATGGAAGGAAGAGTTATAGAAATGATAGAAATAATGAAACAGAGGGAAAAATAGGCAGAAGTAAATTATAAAGGATGGGAGAAAAGATCATAGAGCATTGAAACTACTTGACTATTATGTCATTAGACTTTAAAGAAGACATTTGATCATGTTTCTTTGACTTTTAGAGCTAAGATCAGTTCTGTTAATCATAAAATGAAATCCAATTTTAGAATATGCAGAGGTGTGCAGTATATTAATGTTATTTGCTCCCCGATGTATCTTTTCTTATGTGAGTGCCACATGATAATTTTGAAGGCAGGGACCTTATTCATTTTTATATTCCTAATGCCTAGCAAAGGTACTTGGTAATTGTTTATGCAATATACAAGTGAAAGAAATGGTTATAGAAGTAGGAGAGGATTTAGCATTCAAAGACAAGTGTTCCTGTAGTAGCTCTGCCATTTATTAGCTGTGGACTTCATTTTTCAATGGAATAATATTACTGAGTTGTAGTATTTAGAGAGACCCAAAGTGTTTTTGATTGAATTATTTATAGATAAAGTGATGTGATATCTGTGATTTGCTTCAAAATGATATGTGAAGGCGAAAGTGGCTAGATGAGACAAGATTGATCATAAGTTGATAATTGTTAAAGTTGGGGAGCAGATAAATGCAATTCATGTTATTTATGTAACAGATACAGTACATGGACCCTGTTTACTTTTAAACACATATGATATATTTTGTAATAAAAAATTTAACAATTCCAGAAATAACTCTATTGATTATGATGTGGTAATGCAAATAATTTGTAAGATGACTGACCTAATTGCATATTTAAATGTAAATTGTAAGTTATATAAGAGCAAATAGTGATTTTGGTAGTGTATTAGTCCATTTTGCATTGTTGTAAAGGAATTACTGGGTAATTTATAAAGAAAAATGATTTAAGGCCAGTGGCTCATGCCTGTAATCCCAGCACTTTGGAAGGCCGAGGCAGGTGAATTACCTGAGGTCAAGAGTTCAGGACCAGCCTGGCCAACATGGTGAAACCCTGTCTCTACCAAAAAATACAAAAATTAGCCGGGCATAGTGGTGGGCGCCTGTCATCCCAGATCTCGGGAGGCCAAGACAGGATAATTGCTTGAGCCCAGGAGGTAGAGGTTGCAGTGAGCTGAGATGGTACCATTGGACTCCAGCCTGGGTGACAAGAGTGAAACTATGTCTTAAAAAAAAAAAAAAAAAAAAAGTGAAGAGATTTAATTGGCTCATGGCTCTGCAGGCTGTAAAAGAAGCATGGTGCCAGCAACTACTTCTGGTCAGGACCTCAGGAAGCTTTTACTCAGGTAGAAGGCTGTGAGGGTCCAGATGTGTCACAAAGCAAGAGAGGGAGCAAAAGAGAGGGGAGGATGTGCCAGTCTCCTTTAAACAACCAGCTCTCTCACAAACTAACTTATTACCATGGGGAGGGCACCAAGCAATTCATGAGAGATCGGCCCCCATGACCCAAGCACCGCCCACCAGGCCCCATCTCCAACACTAGGGATCACACTTCAACATGAGATTTGGAGGGGACAAATATCCAAACCATATCAGGAAGCATCAGTTTTTTAATGATAATTATTAAGTTCATACATTTCTTGAGAGAAGTAATAGTGTTTTATGCAGGAATAATTATATTTTCTAGTTTATTTTATGATTGCATAAAATGAATATTGGGTTCTAAAAAGACAAACTGATTGTGTAGTTAAGGGTTGCTCAATATGATATGTATGACTAATGTGTATATTATAATTAATGTGATACCACCTAAATAGAAATGCTGTTGGTTAACTTTGAAGTGTTTCTTAATTCACCTAGTTCCTTGCCTATATTTGGTACTCAGTAAGTGTTGAACAAATACATGAATATAATAGTTTTGGTTTTGTTACTACCAGGAAGAGGAAAAATGTGATGAAATTCCAGACTTTGAACCAATTCTGGAGTTTAACAGAAGTGTTAAAGCTGATTCTACAAAATATAATGGTCCTCCATTTCCGCCAGTTGCTTCTACTTTTCAGCCCACTGCCAATATTCTGGATAAAGTAATTGAGAGAAAAGAAACATTGGAAAATAGCTTAATTCAATGGTAAGTTTACAATGTTTTTGGTGTGAATAGAACCATAGTAGCAAATATAAATGGAAAGTATTAAATTGTGATCAAAAGTATTCCTTGTCTTCTTTTGTTTATTAAACTTTCTTTGCTTCAGTCACTGGAAAGTGTTTGATACAATGCTGAGGGCTTAACTATTGTTGGAGATATTGTTTTTGTCCTTGAATATTTGTACTCGGTCTGTCTACTCTGGCAAAGTAGACTATTAGGAAACCTTAAAAAATGTACATTTCTTTAATCCAGTGATTCATTTCCAGAAACTTATCCTAAGGAAGTAATTATGGTTTGCTACTAGGCCAGGGATCCCCAACCCCAGGGCCACGAACCAGTACCGGTCTGTGGCCTGTCAGAAACTAGGGAACTAAGCTGCACAGCAGGAGGTGAGCAGCAGGTGAGTGAGCATTACTGCCTGAGCTCCACCTCCTGTCAGATCAGCCATGGCATTAGATTTCATAGAAGCACCAACCCTATTGTAAACTGTGCATGCGAGGGATCTAGGTTGCATGCTCCCTATGAGAATCTAATGCCTGATGATCTGAGCTGAAACAGTTTCATCCCAAATCCATGCCCCCACCCCCTACCCCATCACCCCTGCCCTGGTCTGTGGAAAAATTGTCTTCCACAAAACCAATCCCTGATGCCAAAAAGGTTGGGACTGCTATACTAGGCCATATAATACCTAGCACTACAAAAAAGGCACTGTTCAGGTTTGTTACATTCTGATAACAACAAGTTGTAATATGTTACTGTTGTTACATATTACAATAACAAATGTAACTTGTTACATATGAATATGAAATGAACTCTATTCTTTGTATTTTTACTTGTAAGAAATCTTAAGGAAGTTATGGAATAAGTAAAACGGCTGAATATTAATATAATTATGAAAATTAGGTTTAGAATAAATTTAGTGATATAAAAAGATATTAATAATGTACTGGCATATAAACAAAGCAGGATACTAACAATGTAACCCCAGTTTACAAGACTTTACTCAAAAGTAAGTATATAGCCGGTGCAGTGGCTCACGCCTGTAATCCCAGCACTTCCAGAGGCCAAGGCGAGTGGGTCACCTGAGGTCAGGAGTTCGAGACCAGCCTGACAAACATGGTGAAACCCCGTCACTACTGAAAAAACAAAATACAAAAATTAGACAGGTGCGATGGCGCACACCTGTGGTCTCAGCTACTCGGGAGACTGAGACAGGAGAACCTCCAGACTGGGAGGTGGACGTTGCAGTGAGCTGAGACTGCGCCACTGTACTCCAGACTGGGTGAAAGAGTGAGACTCTGTCTCAAAACAAAGCAAAACAAAACAAAAATGTGTGCATAAAACAAAAGTTTGATAAAGCATGTATACCAAATTGACTGTGTTTGTCCCTGAACCTAGGATTATAGGCAAGCTTTATCAATTTTTTAAACTCTTAGATATTTTCTAAATTTTCTACAATGAATGCCTATTATTTATATAATAATTTTTAAGAAGTCTATTAGTTGCACTAAAGAAATGTTCTAGAAGCCTCCTGTTCCCCTTTTCCTTCCTGAAGATGACCTTGGAAATAGATTTTTTCTTTACATTTTAAGAGGAAAACTACCTATAATATAGCCTATATGTGTATTGCCTTGAAGAGAGGGCAGCTAGACTTCTTTTCTAGCTCTGATCTTACATGGTTTTTATGTGTGCGCTCAGAGTGGAAATCAAACAGTTTAGGTACATGATATGCCAGATAGTCATTGGTCCAAGTCTTATTTTGAGTTTAGGAGTTCTTTTAAGCTTTTCATTAGACTAATCCTGAAGATTTTAATTTGATTTCGTAAACTCTCTCCCACAAGGAGATTCTGTTTACTGTGGTTTATCTTCTTCAGAGGCACTTTTTTTTTTTTTTTTTTTGAGACAGAGTCTCACTCTATTGCCTAGGCTGTAGTGCATAGTGTGATCATGGCTCACTGCAGCCTCGACCTCCTGGGCTCAAGCCATCCTCTCACCTCAGCCTTCTGAGCAGCTGGGACTACAGGCACGTACCACCATGCCCAGCTAATTTTTGTATTTTTTGTAGAGACAGTGTTTTGCCCTGTTTCCCAGGATGATCTTGAACTCCTGAGCTCAAGCAATCTGCCCAACGTGGCCTCCCAAAGTGCTGAGATTACAGGTGTGCGCCATGATGCCCAGCCCATTTTATTTTTTTTCTTCTAGATTTAACTTTCAGAATGACTGCTTTCACACCAACACGTTTGTGACATTGATAAAGGTTATTTTTAAGGGTGGTACGTCTGACATTTTTTACATTTCAATCAAATTGAGGAATCTTAACTTTTATCTACCCCACCATCCCCTCAGGGTAGAGCAAGAAATAATGTCAAGAATTATCTCTGGGCTCTTTCCAATCCAGCAACAGATTGCACCTAATATCAGTGTTTCAGTCAGTGAGACAAGTAACCCACTGACTTCTGACATTGGTAAGTGAAATGGAATCTTTTTTGTTTTTATTAAAAGACAAAAGCTTTAGTTCATTGTGGATTTATATATTCCAGAGGTCAAGTAAATTCTCCAGTAACAAAAGGTAAGTTCTTCTAACCTTACTTCCTAGTACTTCTTTGGTGATGGTTAGTTCTCTCTCATCCTCTTATTTCATATTGCAGCTTTCAGATTATTAAACCACTCTTCATACCTCCCACCCCAAATCTCTGTTATCCCCATAGTACTTTGTACATATTTTTGTTATAGTAATTATCAGATTATATTAAAGTTGGTTTCCATATCTGTCTCACCCTTTAGATTATAAATTACTTAGGATTTAAGGATGTTTCTCCTTTTGTGCCTAGTCCTTGCCTGAAACCCAACAAGAGTTTAATTATTCATTGAATGGTTAAAATGAGCCTTTCTTTATGGAGCCTATGCCATTCTTTTTTTCCTTCCCTCCTTCCCTCTTCTTCTCCCCCTTTCTCTTCTCCATTTTTTTTCTTTTCTTCCTCTTCTTTTTCTCCTTCCCCCTTTTCCTTTTCTTCTCCCCCTTCTCTTCCCCATTTTTTCCTTCTCCCTCTTCCTCATATTTTTCTTCCTTTCCACCTCCTTCTTGTTTTTTTGAGGTAAGTTTACTTGCCATAAAAGTCACCACTTCTAAGTGTACAGTTTGACAAGTTTTTTGTTTGTTTGTTTTAATTAGAGCCAGGGTCTCCTTCTGTCATCTAGGCTAGAGCCTGGACTGCAGTGACATGATCATAACCCACTGTAACCTCTAACTCCTGGGCTCAAGCAACTCTCCTGCCTCAGCCTCCCAAGTAATTAGGACCATAGGTATGCACCACCATGCCCAGCTAAAAATAATTTTGGGGCCAGGCACAGTGGCTCACGCCTGTAATCCCAGCACTTTGGTAGGCCAAGGAGGGCAGATCACCTGAGGTGAGGAGTTCAAGATCAGCCTGGCCAATATGGTGAAACCCTGTCTCTATGAAAAATACAAAAATCAGCTGGGTATGGTGGCACACACCTATAATTCCAGCTACTCCGGAACCTGAGACAGGAGAATTTCTTGAACCCAGGAGGTGGAGGTTGCAGTGAGCCAAGATCACGTCACTGCACTCCAGCCTGGGCAATAAAGTGAGACTCTATCTCAATCAATCAATCAGTACATTTTGTAGAGATGGGGTCTTGCTATATTGCCCAGGCTAATCTCAAACTCCTGGCCTCAAGTGGTCCTCCTGCCTCAGCCTCCAAAAGCACTGGGATTACAAGAGTGAGTCACTGCACCTGGCCCAGTTTGACAAGTTTTGACAAGTTCACACAGCTATATATTAGCCACATAATCATGAGATAGAAAAACATTTCTGTCTTCTCCAAAAGCTTCGTTATGCTATATTGCAGTTAATTCCTAAACCTCACTCATGCCCACTGGCCTCAAACAACACTGACCTGCTTTCTATTACTGTATTTTTACCTTTTCTAGAATTTCATACATATGTAATCATGCAAGATGTAGCCCGTTGTTGGCTGGCTTCTTTTATTAGCACAATATTTTGACAATCATGCTATTGCATGTAGTAATACTATAATGTATAGATATACCATAATTTGTCAATCCATTTACCAGTTGATGGACGTTCATAGTCTTTTCAGTTTTTGGCTATTATGAATAAAGCTGCTACGAACATTTGTAAGCAAATGTTTGTGTAGAAATCTTTTAATTTTGCTTGGTCATATGATAAGTAAATGTTTAACTTTATAAGAAACTGCTAAACATTTCCAAAAGTGAGTATACTATTTTGCATTCCACCCAGCAGTGTATGCGACTTTAGTTGCTCCACATCCTCCCCAACACTTGGTGACTTGGTGTTGTCAGTGTTTATAATTCTTGCCATTTCTGAACATATGTGGAGGTATTTCCCTAACTACTAATAACTGAGTAGTATAATTACTAATGATGTACAACTTTTTAATGTGTTTATTTGCCATCTGTATATTTACTTTGGTGAAATCTTTTTAAATCTTTTGACCATTTTTAAGTTTGAGTTGTGTCTTCATATTACTGAGTATGAAGTATTTTATCTATTCTGGATACAAGTCCTTCATTGGATATGTTTTGTAAATATTTTCTTCTACTTTGTGTTTTGCCTTTTTGTTTTCTCAGCATTATATTTTGAAGACAAAAAGATTGATTTTGAAGAAGACTAATTTATCAGGCTTTTTCTAGTAGTTTGTAGGGATTTTTGCATGCTGTTTTTAAAAAATCTTTGCTAACCCAAGATCACTAAGATAGTTTTCTATGTTTTCTTCTAGAAGATGTATGGTTTTAGATTACACATTTAGGTTTTAGTTTATTTTGAGTTAAGTTTTATGGTGTGAAGTAAGGATCAAGTTCTTTTTTGTTTGGGTGTTTTTTGGCATATGGATATCCAGCTGTTCTAGTATCATTTGTTGAAAAGATTATCCTTACTCCATTGAACTACCTTAACACCTTGGTTGAGCATCAGTTGGTTATGTATGTGTGTATCTTGTTTTTGGGCTTTGTATCCTATCCCATTCACCTGCAAGTTATACTAATACCATACTTATTGATTACTGTAATTTAATAGTAAGACTTGAAATCGGATAGTGAAAGTTTTTCTAACTTTGTTTTTTTTTTTTTCATTCCTGTTTACCATTATCTCTACTTTTTTCTTCTTTCCAGCCTCAGGATAAGCTATTCTTTCTCCCTCGTAGACTATCCTTTAACAGCCCGAATCCTAGACTTCAGAGTCTATATTCACCACTTTAATTTCTCATTACCCACTTCCTCTTTAGTCCTTATGGGTTGGCCTTCTTTTGCCCTCTCCTTCAGGAAACTCCTTTCTCACAGCATTTGCTTGTCAAAAATGCTTCAAATCCTTTTTCAAATCCTTGTTTTAGTGGATGGCTCAAGCATAGGCACTATTGACCATCTCTGATTCTTAAACTCTTCTCCTGGTGTTGGCTTCTTAAACTTCATTCTGTTATTCTTCCTCTTGTTTTTTTTTTTTTTTTTTTTTTAACTTCTTTAAGACCTTCATTTTCTCATTTTATTTTCTGCTACTTGAATACATTTATTTCACTAGTTCCCATGCTTTGCCCTCTTTTCTGTTTTTTCCAGTTTCCTCCTGACATTAGTTATCCTGTGTCAGTTGATGAACCCTAAGCCATGTATTTGGGCCGACAACTTGCAGTTCTGCTGGTTGGTGAATATTCTGCTTGATGCTCCCCTGGCATCTCATCCTTAGTATGTCTAAAATGCTTCTCATTTTTGATATCACAATTCTCCCAGCACGCATAATCTCTAAAGCCTTGGAGTTATTATTTGCTCTATTTTCTTTGCTTTACTCTTCTTCATTCCCCACTCAGCCATACCCTATATCCCAGCTTCATAGAGTTTATTGTTGCATTTGGTTAATTTCTCCTGTTTAGCATAGCTCACATGCCTTCTGTTGTTACTATCCTGGTTTTCTTTATCATCTCATCTTTGAGGGAAGGACAAAAATGAACAACAAATTTATGAGAAAATTGTTTTCCTGGTGAAAATCAGACAATTTACAAATTGGTTATTTAGATCCTGTTTTCTTCCCTGTAAAAGATTGGTGTTTGCTTTTGTTTTGCCAGTGTCTGGGTAGGGATTTTAGGCCTTATAAAAAAGATGTTCTGATTTTTGGCCATGCTCAAAGAGTGAATTATGGAAACTAAAAAGGAGATGTATCAACATATATTGTTGAATATAAATTTGGGATCGTGATAGTCTCTGCTCTGGTAACTCAAGAGCAAATTGCTGTTACTTACCCCATCAACAAGTGATCCCACTACACTTCTACCCACTTTTTAGGGAATTCTGGATATTGTTACTATAGTTGTATGACTTAAGGAGTACTCTTTGATGAGGTCACATCTCCATCAGGTTGTACAGATTAGTATCCACTTATTTTCCACATGGAGCTTTATAAATATCACTACTTTAAGTCAAGTAAAGTCTATTCAGGAAGTTTTACTTAATTTGATGTACATTAATGTAAGTGAAAAGTACAACCCATTCAGAAATTAATATACCTATAGGACATATGATAACAAGCACCTCAACTGCAGTAGATGTTAATAACTGATGTATCTGGAACTAGAAGGAAGGGAGATTTGCCTTCATATTTAGTGCATTCTTTTGTTTTAGTCGAGATCTGTCACAGAGTTTCCTCTTGTTATACTCTTGGAAATGTGAGTTGTATTCAGATGAGGGCATTTAATGTGCCCATTTTTATCACTAAATTCTATAGTAGTAGAGAAGAGGCCACCTAAGTAAATTTTCGTCTCCCTTTTTTTTTTTATTTACAGAGAATATTTGTTATGTAAGTTGTCCACTTAGTCTTTTTCATAAGTAGATATGTTTGTATTTTCATTTTTATTCCTCTTTCCACCCTCCCCCACTCACCTCCATACACATATATTGGCATCTCTGAACTTTTAAGAATGAAAGTTTGGTCCAGGCGTGGTGGCTGTCGTCTATAATCCCAGCACTTTGGGAGGCCGAGGCAGGTAGATCACCTGATGTCAGGAGTTCAAGACCAGCCTGGCCAACATGGCGAAACCCCCATCTCTACTAAAAATACAAAAATTAGCCAGGCATGGTAGCACATGCCTGTAGTCCCAGCTGTTCAGGAGGCTGAGGCAGGAGAATCGCTTGAACCTGGGAGGTGGCAGTTGCAGTGAGCCAAGATCATATCACTGCACTCCATCCTGGGTGACAGAGTGAGACTCCATCTCAAGAAAAGTAATAATAATAATAATAATAATAATAATAATAATGAAAGTTTGAATTGCAAACTTGTTTCTTGCCCACTCATTCTGATTTTTTTTTTACTTTTAGTGGAAGGAACAAGCAGTGGCACCCTCCAGCTTTTTGTTGATGCTGGTATTCCTGTGAACTCAGACGTGATTAACCATTTTGTGAACGAAGCCCTTGCTGAGACCATTGAGGTCATGCTGGGTGACAGAGAAGCAAAGAAGCAAGGTCCTGTTGCTACAGGTGTTTCTGGGGATGCTTCAACAAATGAAACATATTTGCCGGTATGGGGAATTTTGGATACATTTATTGAAGAATAGTAAAATAGATGAATTTTAAGCCACATACCATAAGATCATGGTTTGTGGTAGAAGTATTATCATTTTTAGAGACATGGTCTTTATATATTGCCCTGGCTGGTCTTGAACTTCTGGGCTTAAGTGATCCTCCTGCCTCAGCCTCCTGAGTAGCTGGGATTACAGGCACCAGCCACCATGCCCAACTTGTGGTAGAATTTTATTCCTTGTTGCTATGATTAAAGTAACATTTCCCCCAGCATTTTATTTTAAAAACTTTTAAATCTATACAATAGTTGAAAATATGATACAATGAACATCTGTACACCCTTTACCTATACAGTTATTGGTATACATGGAAAATTGGCCAGTCCTTGCATACTCAAGTCTCATAGTTGGCCCTGTAAAACTGAAGAATATAAAACATCAGCCCTCTATATATATGCATTTCTTATCTCATGAATACTGTTTTTGATCCACATTTGGTTGAAAAAACCAAATTTCTATGATTGGCCTCTCACAGTTCAAACCTATGTTTTTATTTAGTTACTTATTCAAGGGTCATTCATATTTATTGATTGATAATATTTTGGCACACTTATAAAAATCTCTTTATATCTGCTATGTATTATATATCCTTTAAAAACCATTTGAAAGTTACAGACAGCATAACACTTTACCTCAGAAGCATCAGCAGTATCACCACAGAACAAGTTGCTTTCTTACATAACCAAACATTATCAGACCCCCCAAATTTAACACTGACATGTTAGTAATATAGAATATAGAGACTATATTTAGATTTCCCTAATTGTTTGAAAAATATCCTTTATAGTTTTTTTTAAATCAAGATATAGCCAAGGATCATATATTGCTTTGCGTTATTATATAAACTGATATTTTTAATCTTTAAGAGAAAATACATTTCAGGAACTTTTATTGCTTGTTTAATCAACCTTACTTGTGTTAAAAAGAATTTATAACCTATTATACGAAGCCAAAATTTACTCTGTATTACCAGCTATTTAAAACTGTAGTTACTTCTGATCCTATAGATCACAAGGACATCATTTTACGTACGTGAAACATTTAAACATCATTCTATGTATAAACATAAAGTTATATACTATATTTTACTTTTGTAGAGATTGTTGTGGTATAATGTGATTAGTGTGCCAAAGATTTGATCTGTAGTTTTGATCTGTGCTTTATGAGCTCATTGGGAATATACGCAGTACAGATGTGGTCAGGGTTATGGTTTTTTCTATGCCAATTACTTTGGTTTGCTTTTTGCCTATGTATTGCATGTATTTTCAGGAAGGTAATTGGATGAGAAAATGTGGGAAAACCAGGGTAAAGAGCTTGGACTTTGGGGTTGGTAAAACTTGGAATTTGAATTCCAAGCTCCACTACTTTAGTTTTATCTCTGTAATAAAGATAGAATACTTAGTTTAAATGATCATGGCTTTGCCAAAATCTGCTTACTGAATATCTATTAGGGCAAGCACTACTCCCAGCCTGCGACTTATTAACTCTTTATCTTCAGAATTGTCATGGCTTTTCTTGGCCTTTTAATCTCTTACATATATTTTAAAGTTAGTTCTTAAGTTCTATAAAAAATATTGTTGAGATTTCAGTGGGAATTAAACCAATTTTGACTGGTTTCATTTAAGAAGGATTGACATCTTTATGGTACTGTTTTCTTAGCCAAAGTTTTGTGGAAGATTAAGTGAGATGATATATGGACAGAGCTTAATCTAGTGCCTAGAACTTGGTAAATAAATACTCAGTTACTAATAGTTTATCATTTTTATTATCCATTACCAATACTAGAAGAATACCTTCGGATTCTTTAATCATGCTGAGTTATATATATTAAATATAGTGTTATATTTGAAAACAATACTTCCATGCTCTATGTTTATGCAGTCAAGAAGAAAAAAAGACATAGTGTACTTCTTTCATTTTAAAATGAAGGCTAAGAGTACACTAATTATTAAGCAATGCTATAGAAATTCTAATATGCTTCATGGTTTTAAATTGCATCTTAATTTGCAACCCATAATACAGAATAAATAAAGCATAATCACCTTATATAAAGACTTTTTAGAATGAAGAAAAAGTCAAATTATATTTTTTATATATATATATATATATATATTTTTTTTTTTTTTTTTGAGACGGAGTTTCACTCATGTCGCCCAGGCTGGAGTGCAGTGGTGCTGTCTTGGCTCACTGCAACCTCTGCCTCCCAGGTTCAAATGATTCTCCTGCCTCAGCCTCCTAAGTAGCTGGGATTACGGTTGCCCGCCACCACACCCAGCTAATTTTTGCATTTTTAGTAGAAGCGAGGTTTCACCATGTTAGCCAGGCGGTCTCGAACTCCTGACCTCATGATCTACCTGTCTCAGCCTCCAAAAGTGCTGGAAGTACAGGCGTGAGCCACCGTGCCTGGCCCAAATAATGTATTTTTAAAATGGTCAGAGGACAAGAGCAGACAGTTCATACACATAGAAGAAATACAAATCACCCGTGTACATATAAAAAGATGAAGATGATCAACCTCATAGATAATAAGAAAACAAGTTATTGAAATGCAATTTTTACTGTCAAATAGGCAAAACTCTAAAAGTTTGATAATTCTGGGGGAAGTTGTCATTTTCCTACCTTCTGGTGGTAGTGTAAAATAGTAAAATCCTGTAGCAGGAAAGCTGGCAATATCTATTCAAATTAAAAACATAATTAGTTCTTTAATTGAGCAGTCCCACTTCTGGGAACTTAGTCCATAGATATATCCATATATCATACACATGAAATGACTGAAGTCAAGATTATTTGATAACTCTGAGGAAGGGCTCTAGGTAGAAAGGACAAGAGCAGGAGACACACTTAATTTTCACTATCCTTTTGTACCTTTTGAAGTTTGAACCATTTGAATGATTACCTATTCAACAAATTAATATTAAATTGTTACATTTTTCCTTCTCCAGTACTTTCCATCTCCCTGCTGTCTTCGCTTCTCTCTAACTCCCACTTTTTCTTATCCTTCCATTACTTTTTATATACTCAGTTTTTTGTGTGTTCCAAAAGGCTGATTTTTTGTTTGGTATCTTGTCAATCAGTTAAAATGCTTCCTTTCTGTTTTATGCCTTTCCTTCATGTTTGTAATTGGGTTTGATCTTCAGCTTTGTCTGTTTAATCTTTCTGTCTTCTTTATTTTTAAAATTTCAGCTTTTATTTTAGGTATAGGGGGTACATGTGTAGGACTGTTATATGGATATATTGGACCCAGATAGTGAGCGTAGTACCCAAAAGTAGTTTTTCAACCCATTCCCCCCTTCTTCCCTCCTGCCCCCTGCCATCATAGTCCACAGTGTCTACTGTTCTCATGTTTATGTCTATGTGTGCTGAATGTTTAGCTCTCACTTATAAGTGAAAACATGTGGTATTTGTTTTTTTCTTCCTCAGTTTGTTCAGGATTATGGCCTCCAGCTCCATCCATGTTGCTGCAAATAACATGATTTTGTTCTTTTTTGTGGCTGTGTGGTATTCCATGATGTATGTATACCACATTTTCTTTATTCAGTCCACCATTGATGGGCTCCTAGGTTGACTCCACATCTTTGCTGTTGTGAATAGTGTGGCAATGAACTTATGAGTGCATGTGTCTTTTTGGTATAATGATCCTTGGGGTATATACCCAGTATGGTCTCAAAAGAAGACATACAAGCCGTCAACAAACATATGAAAAAATGCTCATCATCACTAATCATCAGAAAAATGCAAATTAAAACCACAGTGAGATACCATTTCAGTCAGAATGGCTATTATTAAAAAGTAAAAAAAAAAAAAAAAAGATCGCCATAAATATATACACTTCCTATGTACCCACAAAAATTAAAAATTAAAAATTTTAAAAACAAACTAATAACAGCAAAATACACACCAACAGATGCTAGTGAGGCTGCAGAGAAAAGGGAATGTTTATACACTGTTGGTAGGAATGTAAATTACCTCTTCTCTATTTTAAAAGAGGGTGCCTTAGAATTCTGTGGAGACCACTTCAGAGGCAGAGTTATTTCAATTGCCTGCGACTTTCTGCAGGCCAGTTGTAGACTAACAGGTAGAGGTTCAAGAGGTAGGGTACTTAACCCCACCATCAATTTAAATTATATGTAGCCTATGAATGAGTTCATGTTATTATTTCAAATTACTTTTATTTGGGTGATTATAAACACAGTTTATCTTACTGTATTAATTTATTTTAGGCAAGAGTGTGTACCCCACTGGCTACTCCACAGCCTACGCCTCCTTGCTCACCTTCATCACCTACTAAGGAGTGTGTTTTGGTAAAGACTCCAGATTCTTCTCCCTGTGATTCAGATCATGATATGACTTTTCCTGTGAAAGAAATATATGCTGAAAAAGGTAGAAACTTTATTTCTATAACTCAGTTTTAATATTAGCAACTATTAAATACAGTTTCATGATTGTCTTATAAGATGCTTTTTGAGATTATTGTATATGTACTTGTTGCTTACTAGGTTTTAGTAAATCATTTTTTTCTCACAAGGAAATTTAAGAATTGATTGCAACTTCTTTAAGTCTGTAATTGAGGCCAGGCATGGTGGCTCACACCTATAATCCCAGCAGTTTGGGAGGCTGAGGCAGGTGGATCACGAGGTCAAGAGTTTGAGACCAGCCTGACAAACATGGTGAAACCCCTGTCTACTAAAAATACAAAAATTAGCCAAGCGTGGTGGCATGTGCCTGTAATCCCAGCTACTCAGGAGGCTGAGGCAGGAGAATTGCTTGATCCTGGGAGGCAGAGGTTGCAGTGAGCCGATATCGCAGCATTGCACTCCACCCTGGGTGATAGAGTGAGACTCTGTCTCAAAAAAAAAAAAAAAGTATATAATTGAATAGATGCTTAGACTACTTTAAGTATTAAAAATTATATCTTCTCAAGGGTATTTTTTAATGCTTTATTAAATTTAGGGATTTTCACATTAATGGCTACCACCATTGTCATTATTATTATTAATTATAATTGCCATTATTTGTGTGCTAAAATGGTAAAGGATATCTGAAGCAATGTATCATGCCATCCTATGGAGTTCTTTACTGACTACTATCTTTTTCTTTTTTTAAAAAAAAAATCTTTAGGAGATGATATGCCTGCCATCATGCTTGTTAAAACTCCAACGGTTACCCCTACTACTACACCTCCTCCAGCGGTGGCAGTTTTTACCCCAACTTTGTCAGATATTTCCATTGATAAATTGAAGGTATCGAGCCCAGAGCTTCCCAAGCCATGGGGTGATGGAGACCTGCCACTGGAAGAAGAGAACCCTAACTCACCTCAAGAAGAACTTCATCCAAGAGCTATGTAAATGAGAACATACTCACTAGTAACTGTACATTTCAACTTACGTTTGACTTCTGTAATCCGTTGAAAACATAGAAATATATACAAAGCTTTATAAACCACAGATAGTTTATAAACTACCTTATACTTTGAAAGAAAGAACTTTCATAAATTTTGAGTTTTGAAAAATTATCAAATTATACCTTCACCTTTTTTCTTAAAAGGTTTGAAACAGATAGAAATAAAGGTATCTATTACATTGTTAATAAAATAGAAAACAATTTCTCACTATTGTGGGTCATTGTTTACTATCATCAGTTAACTTTTATATTTTTATATATCTCTATGTAGATTTATTTGATGTCTGGAAGAGCTTTCAAGATGGCCTATGATTAAAGCATGAAAACAATTTTTAAAAATCTTGTTAATTATAGTAGTGCAGATTTAAGAAAATATTTCGCTAAAGGAGACATAGTCTTCAAGTCTATTTTTTATATCAAAATGAATACAGGCCTTCAGTGACCTAACAAGCTCAAAATATGTGTTTATTTTCTTAGTGTAATGTCTGTGGCTAAGGATGAAGAACCAGAGAGTATGGATTTCCCTGCTCAGCCTCCACCTCCAGAGCCAGTTTCCTTTATGCCATTTCCTGCTGGCACCAAGGCCCCTTCCCCTTCACAGATGCCAGGTTCTGATTCATCAACACTGGAGAGCACATTGAGTGTTACTGTCACTGAAACTGAAACTTTAGATAAACCCGTCTCTGAAGGAGAGATTTTATTTAGCTGTGGTCAAAAATTGGCCCCCAAGCGTAAGTTAATTTGTATTAATTGATTTCACTTGTTAGATTATGGTAATCCCCTAAGTAATACTTTCCTGTTTAAAGTGTTTTTACTTAACTTTCAAGATTTAACATGGTATGGTAGAAAGAATGGGGGGCTCAATGCAATTTAGTTAACTTTTCTGGGTCTTAACTTCAGAAAGTAAAATCTTCCTCATAATCCCACCCTCTAGAAATAATATCACTATTAATGGTTTTGGGTAGACCTTTCCAGTCTTTTTTTCTATGGATGTATGTTTACCTTTAAAAATAGGATCTTATTATGCATATTGTTTTGAAACCTGAATTTTTTTTTTTTTTTTTTTTTTTTTTTTTTTTTGAGACAGGTTCTCACTCTGTCCTCCAAGCTAGAGTGCAGTGGCGTGATCATGGTTCACTGCAGCCTCAACTTCCTGGGCTCAAGCAATACTCCCACCTCAGCCTTCTGAGTAACTGGGACTACAGGCATGTGCCACCATGCCGGGCTAACTTTTATATTTTTTTGTAGAGATGAGATTTCGCCATTTTGCCCAGGTTGGTCTCAGATGTCTGAGCTCAAGTGATCCGCACGCCTTGGCCTCCCAAAGGGCTGAAATTGTAGGCCTGAAACACCACACACAGCCTGAAAGCTGAATTTTTTTTTACCTAATAATGTATTGTGGATATCTTTTAATATGACTCCATAGTTTTCTTATTTTTCTTTTATGGCTGTGTAGTCTATTTACTCCCTTAATAGAAGACATTTAGATTGTTTTCAATGCTTTCAGTCTATACACAACTCTCTAATTACCATCCTTTCATGTATATATATTTTTGGTGCACTTATCTAGTCTCTTCCTTAGAATACATGCCTTAAAGTGAAATTGCTTAGTCTACTTTATTGCTTTAAGTTCTAGAAAGGATTGTTAGCTCTTAATCTGTTTTAATTATATCAACAGTATATGAGAGTACCCGTTTCTCAATTTCATAACTACAATTGATATTTATAGTTTTTAATTTCTAACAAACTTGTAGGTTAAACAAAATTCTCATCTTTGTTATAAATTGTACTTTTAAAAAACTGGTAAGATTGAGTAGTTTGTGAATTACTTGTTTATAAACTTTGCCAATATTTCCATTGCAGTATAATTTTGAATCTAATATGCTATGGCTTTGTGGTCAGATTATTTACTAAATTTGTGTTTCTTTTTTTTTTTCTAAATTTTTATATTTTAATTTCTAGTTTTAGAAGATGTAGGACTGTACCTGACAAACCTTAATGATAGCTTATCCAGCACTCTGCATGATGCTGTTGAAATGGTAAGTAACGATCGACTCCAACACTGAATTCTGATAGGAAGAATATCTTTATGAATTGGTTGCCATTGATCAGGTTTTTTCTCAATTTTTTGAGTTATAGACACAAAATTTAGTAAAATAACCATGAAATAATTTAGGGCTTCTTGCACATTTCATTATATAATCTTATAATTGTGAGAATGAAAAAAAGTTATTATTCACCCTTGTGGCTCTAGGGAAAAAAAATACATTTAATGTAATTAGGTAATGAAATCTAGCTGATTGCAAATTGTTACCTCTGTATGTTGTCTTTACAATATTTAAGCAGGCTCTTACCTATTTCAACCAACTCTCTTATAATACATTTGTTATTTTTCCCTAACCATGATTATAATTCTTTGTGCAAATAAATGTTTAAATTTAATGGCTTAAAAAGAAAAATGAGGTCCAGGGATGCTAACCCTTTCTAGTTTTTATCTAACTCTGTAGAAGCAAAAGTTGGTATTTAAAAATATCACATTATATATAAATATATAGAAATGATAGTAAGAATTTTCTTTTGAAAAAATCATTAAGGAATAGAAATCTTTACTTTATATATTTTTAAACAACCTAAGCAAGGAAAGATAATTGTACTCAACTGTCATCTATATTTATTCACATCTTTTTAAAGCATTGTTGCTGTTTTTTAAAATTATTTCACATAGGCCTATGAAAATACTTCATTAATAAGTTTTTGATAAGATTTTAATGAAACAATTTTTAAACAGTAATTATTTATTGCAAGTAATTGGTTGAGTTAATTGTGAAGAGAGCACAGCAATCACTTTTATGAAATAATATGGGAAGAAGGCATAAATGAGATATCTTTATTTTCAGAGAAGCATAACTAACATTTGGCCTATTTAGTGTACCATGATAGCACTTTTCTCCTTTCTTTGAACTTTTTCAAGTGGCAAAGCATGTTTAAATTTATTTAAAGTAAATAGCTAAACCGAACCAAGACTAAATTATAACTTGTTTCTGTTTTTCTACATTTGAAACTAAATTCTAATTTTGCTATTTTTACTACGCCTAAATCTTATGCTACAAATTCATAATAAAGTCAAATACAAAAGTACAATCTGGAAAAACCCCAAATAACTCGAAGTCATGTACCAGTTGGCATTTATCTATACATAGCTAGGGGATAGGTACTTATAATTTAAAATCATGTTAATACCTGTATTTATAAGATAGTCTCCTTTGTTGGACTCTGAGGCCCACACTGTTCCTCATTGTTGAGACGAGCCTATTTTGAGGCACGAACAAGTCTATACAGAGTGCTCCAGTGAGGGTCTTCAATACCAGCGCCCTCACCAAGTAAGCCGGATGTCAGCCCAAAGGCAAAGGGACATTGAGGTCTATCGCTGCCATACCATACTTCTGCAGTTTTTCATTTTTGCTTGTGGTCCAGGTTGCAGCATTACAATGCTTTGCCCCCATTGCCACACTGTGGCATTGCTTTACTGCAGAAATACCAAGAGGAGGCTGTGACCCAAAAACAGTGCTATCGTAAAAAACATTTAAGATTCATAGTAGCTCAACTGCATGGGACAGACGGTTTGATTTTTATGTTTTTATAATCTCCAATTTACGTGTTACCGAATTATACTGTGGTTTATATTTGAGGCAAAGGTAGAGGGCTTTTATTATAGACAAATGGAAATGAGAACTGGATGAAAATAAAGAGTTCATCTCCTTTCCAAAAATGCTAATACTGTCATTTCATGACTGCTAAGTTTTTATTAATCTTAAATTGAGAAAAATGCAGTTGTTCGAAATAATTTATTTTTATTAATTGTCTTTACATTTCTTTTAGGAAGATGATCCTCCTAGTGAAGGGCAAGTGATTAGGATGCCCCATAAAAAATTTCATGCAGATGCAATTCTTTCTGTTCTTGCTAAACAAAACCAGGAGTCAGCAGTTTCACAGCAAGCAGTCTGTCATTCAGAGGTACTTTTTAACTTTAATGACTTTTTTTTTGGTTAGATATAAATACAGGAAAAAAATTAAAATATTCTTACTACTAGTTAAAGCATGCTAGTATTTTGTTTTTTCAAGGGTCAGTGTTATAGCAATTTTAACTTGGAGTCATAGAACTGTAGAGTTTTATAACTGAAAGGAATTTAGACCATCTGTTCCAACCACCTTATTCTACAGCTAAAAAAGCTAAAGCTTTGTGAGGATTATTCATTCATTATGCAATTATTTATTGAGTATCCGTTATATGCCAGACACAACCTGGGAAAAGATACAAAGATAAATAAGACATGACCCCTACCTTTAAGCAGCTTACAGTCATGAAGGAAGATAAGGGCTTACACAAGTAATTATTCAACAGTGCAATAACTGATCAAATAGCTGTATTTACAAGCTGTATTTACAAGCTATATGAACACACAGGAGAAAAGACTCTGCTTGAAGTTAGATGACACTTCATACACAATATTACATTGATGTCAGTCTTTAAAGATGGAGTAGGACTTTGCAGGCAGCAATGAAAGGGGGGAAGGGCATTTCAGAAGCAGAAATACCATTTGTTAAGGGATGAGAGCCAAGAAATATTAAAGCATATTTGGAAAGTATTGAAAATTTCTGTGTGGCTAGAACTTTAGATAAAGAATCAGATATGTGTGGAGAAGTAGATTGAACCAGATGATCATAAAGAACATTTTATTTAGGCCATGTTAAGGCTTGGGCACTGTGGAGCCCATGAAGGTTTTTGGGCAAAGGAGTTGCCTTAGGAAGGAGTATGAAGCCATAAACAAATGAGGGAGACGGGGGGGATCTGTCAGAACACCACTGTAGTAGACCCAGCAAGAGAGAATGATAATATGAACAAAGACAGTTACAGCAGAAATAGAGAGGAGAGAGATTTAAATTTAAGGGCATAGGATTGACAGTAATTGGTCATTGGTTGAGAAAGGTAAAGAAGCTTTTTTTTTAAGGATAATCTTGAAGTTCCTACCTTGGGAGCCTGGGTAGGTGATTGTAGAGTTGTTGGCTTAGAAGTGCAGAGAGAAGAGTGCCAGATTTTATGGGGAAAGTAATGAGTTTGATATACACATCAAATTTAAGGTGCTTAAGGAAATTCCAGGTAGAAATATACAACATTGTCATTCAGACTGGTTAATGATGGAGCTGGGACTAGGATTCTTGATCTATAGTGCTGTTTCTATCATATCTGGTTGTCTTTGCATGAACAAATGTTAACTGGCTTTAGATGAGCTGGAGATCTAAAGACTATATAGGGCCCAAGGAGATGGTTGGTTTTATTTCCTATTTTTATTCTTTTTTTTTTTTTTTTTTTTTTTTTTTTTTTGAGACGGAGTCTCGCGCTGTCGCCCAGGCTGGAGTGCAGTGGCCGGATCTCGGCTCACTGCAAGCTCCGCCTCCCAGGTTCACGCCATTCTCCTATCTCAGCCTCCCGAGTAGCTGGGACTACAGGCGCCCGCCACCTCGCCCGGCTAGTTTTTTGTATTTTTTAGTAGAGACGGGGTTTCACCGTGTTAACCAGGATGGTCTCGATCTCCCGACCTCGTGATCCGCCCGTCTCGGCCTCCCAAAGTGCTGGGATTACAGGCTTGAGCCACCGCGCCCGGCCCCTATTTTTATTCTTAAAACTTTAAATGATTAGGAAAGATAGGAGAAGATATAAAATTTAGTAATGGGAAAAAATGAAAGCTTAACATATTCCTTAACATATTCCTTCTAAATTTAAAATAATTAAATTTTCTGTAACTTTAGTTAGCAGCAGACCAAAAATTGATTTCACCGGAAAAATATTAGTTGTGATGTCTGTGTTGCTAAATTCAAAAACGTACTCTCATAGCTGCAGAAACTAAGGTGCTTAGTATCGAAACCAGTAAGTTGAGAGAGAGAAAGAAGGGACGGGAGAGAGAGAAAGTGCATGTACAGAGAGAGAAAGTGCATGTACGCGGGAAAAGGAGAGAGAAAGAGGGAGAGGGAAGGAGGGAGTGAGAATGAGACAAGCAAATGGTACAAAAAGAGATGGCAAATAGCAGAAGTATCTGCATAATTTATAAATTCCACTGACTAATCCCAGTTTTCTTTTTGAAAATCACTAATATCTGTATTTATTTGTTCAATTTTATCAGACCTTTTTATCTTTTAGATGCTGGGAAATTTATCTTCATTATTTCTTTCTCCCTTTCATTTCCACTCCCCGCCTCCCAAACTCTTATTTCTAGATATTGACACTTCTATTTCTATTTTTATACCTTAAATTTTCTATCTCTTTCTTTTCTTCTCCGTTCTGGGAGAGCTCCCCAATCTGATCTGCTAACTATTAATTTGTTCTCTACCATACTGTTTATCCCATTTATTGTATTTTTCATACTTGACATTCTTGTTTTCTTTTTTTTTTGCTTTGCATTTTAATGTATTTTCTTATCACCTACTCTGTGTCTGTCTGTCTGATTAATATCATTCACTTTGTTGTCTGTTTTTTTTTCTTTTTTAAACTTATTGACTTCTCAGGTATCTGGTTCTTTTGACCTGTGAGTTCATATTTCACTGATGGGATCAACTATTCTGTCTGAGAATTTGGGTAAGGATAAAACCAGTCCATGGTCTGTTTCAGAGAGTTGAAGAAGAGGGGAGGAGAGAGCCCTAGGGAGGAGAGCCTCAGGTAGCACAGAGCCACCCTTGGTCACTGTCCCTGCTGGTTGCTGTTACTCCACTATATAGCTCTTCTGGTGATTATTGTCTTTAAGCCCTTAGGAAGAAGTTGCTTTGAGAGGGTTTATAATCCGCTAGTCCTGGGGTTTGGAGGGGAAGAAGGTGAAGGAATGAATGCCCACGGATGGGCTTCTGGACAGATTTCATCTATAGTTGTCACCATAGCTAGGCCTTCATGTTCCCTGATATTACTCTGGGGCGCCAGCATTTGCCGCTGGGGTTGTTGACAAGAAGACTTTTATGGTTGCGGGGCAAGCAGTGATCTCAAATTAATGGAGGAAGAAACAAGCACTTTTCTCCAGTCATTCCTGTCACGAAGCTCCTCCACACAGCCTCTTCCCTAGGATGCAGCCCCTTTCTTTCCACACATACCAGTTTAAGTTAACTGTCTGTCTTTCCAGCGGGTTTTCACAACTTTTACTTTAGTTCTCAGAATCTATGGGTTCTTTTTCACCTCTGTAGTTACTCTAGTGTTGATTTTGAGAGCTGTCAGCCTGTTATTGTGCTGTCCTGGCTAGACCAGCAATGCGGAAGTTAGAATTCTATTTTCTCCAGATCTTTTTCTAAGCATTAACCATTTGTATATGTATAAAAATATATTTGTGTATATGTATATGTGTGTGTGTATATATATGTATGAATTTTTTTGAGACAGAGTTTCAGTCTGTTGTTCATGCTGGAGTGCAGTGGCTCAGTCAGCTCACTGCAGCCTCAAACTTTTGGACTCAAGCAATCCTCCCACCTCAGCCCCCAGAATAGCTGGCACTATAGGCATGCACCATGCCTAGCTAATTTTTTATTTTTTGTAGAGATGGGGTGTCACTCTGTTGCCTAGGCTGATCTCCAACTTCTGACCTCAAGTGATCCTCCTACCTTAGCTTTCCAAAGTCCTGGGATTATAGGCGTGAGCCACCATTTCTGGCTTAGTATATAATTTTGAGGTGTGCGTATATTTTGTTGTGCAATTTTAAATTTTAAAAAGCTAGTTGCAAAGGCTTTTTAAAATTTAACATAAATCCTGAAGATCTGTATTCTTTTTACCTACCATGTAGTATACCATAGTTTAATTATTCTCCTATTGAAGGATTTTTAGATTGGTTCCAGTTATTCCCTAATCAAACTATACTAGGTATAAAATCCTTTTTTTGTACTCATGAGAAATTATTTTTCTAGATTTAGATACTAAGGCATGGAATTGCTGGCTCAAAGATATAAGCATTCATAATTTAAGTAGGCACTGAAAAATTGCCCTAATGTATGAGATCCCTTTCCCATGTCACACATAATGCTTTTAATCTTAAATTTTTGCCAGTCGGATTAACAGTGACATTTTGCATATTTTCCTGTCTAAAGGACTATTACATTTGTTTGTAATAAGAACTAGTAGTAGTGATACATTGTAAGTTAAAATATTGTTTTGCTAAGAAAATAATGGCTTTTCTTTGTGCTTGAAACTTCTTGCTCAGAGGGGCATTAGGTCAGTGAGAGCTGGCTGATGGCAAACTGTAATTTGTACATATATGTAGATGGGCTAGGTATATTACTCTGTATTATAGGCAGCCTGACTTAAATTGACATGAGTTTAAGCACTGAGTATAATCCAAAACTCAGAGATACTTGTGAGTATGAGGGCATTTTGTAAATAGGCAAGATAAATCTTCAGTAGGGTCATAGAGTATTCTTAAGGTGTTAAATAGTTCAGCAGTTACAAGTATCCTAGAAAACAGATTCACAACAGAGAAGTTACTGTAGATTGTCAGAGTAGTATATGCATTGTGAAATATTTCTCAATTTCTGGAGAAAATATAATTGCCATCATTCTAAATACTGCCCAAGAGTCTCCAAGGGATTTCATATTAATTATGAAACAGTATTTTTTAATTTAAAGGATGTTGAGGCAATCAGTATTCCTAAAGAAGAGTCAGGCTAAGAGAATAAGGAGAGAGAGAGATGTACATAGGAGAATGAAGACAAATTAAAGAGAGTCTTGAATGTTGAGCTAAGAAGTTTAGCTTTTATTTTATAGTCAATGGAATCATCAAAGATGTTTCAGCAGTGATTTCTTCATATATTCTAGTAAAATAAAAACACTTGTTGGTTGAAATTAAACCCCTTTTAAATGAGAAACATGGGAGCTTTCAGATATTGGAATTTTTCTTCAGTTCTTAATTAGTAAATTCATTAATTAGAGTATCTCAAGTCATAAAATGTACTAGTGATTAGGATATATAATTTTTTAATACAGAAAGAAAATAGGAGTCTTATATTTTTTCAGTTATTCATTTATTTCATAGATTTCATTTAAAACAATTTTGTTTTGTTTTGTTTTGTTTTGTTTTTGAGACAGAGTTTCACTCTTGTTGCCCAGGCTGGAGTGCAATGGCGGGATCTCGGCTCACTGCAACCTCCGCCTCCTGGGTTCAAGCGATTCTCAGCCTCTCGAGTAGCTGGGATTACAGGCATGCACTACCACGCCTGCTAATTTTGTATTTTTGGTAGAGATGGGTTTTTGCCATATTGGTCAGGCTTGTCTGGAACTCCTGACCTCAGGTGATCCGCTCGCCTTGGCCTCCCAAAGTGCTAAGATTACAGGCGTGACCCACCATGCCCGGCCAACAATTCTGTGCTTTTTGTATTTTTTATTTTTCCAAGGGAAAAGAGCATTATTAAATATGACTAAAGTAGTCTTCTATAATATCTATACTTTTTTTTTTTTTTGAGACAGAGCGTCACTCTGTCGCCCAGGCTGGAGTGCAGTGGCTTGATCTTGGCTCACTGCAGCCTCTGCCTCCCGAGTTCAAGCGATTTTCCTACCTCAGCCTCCCGGGTAGCTGGAACTACAGGTACCTGCCACCACGCTCGGCTAATTTTTTTTTTTTTTTTTTTTTTTTTTTTAGTAGAGGCAGGTTTTCACCATATTGGCCAGGCTGGTCTCAAACTCCTGACCTTGTGATCTGCCCACCTCGGCCTCCCAAAGTGCTGGGTGGTGTGATCCAGGCCTCTATACTTTTATAAAAATCTTATTATTGATATATGGGGTAACCTTTATGCTGTTTAAAGTATATTATTCTCATCAGTTGTTTAATTGTAAAGTTTCCACTAACAAACTTTAGGCAATTTTTATTCATTTGAAGAATGAGAGAAATTTTGTTATTCCCATTTTAAGCTGTATGAACAATGTGTAATGCATACCAGCATTTAGTGGTTTTGATTTTTTGTCTTTTTTGACACGGTCTCACTCTGTCACCCAGGCTGGAGTACAGTGGTGCAATCTCACTCACTGCAGCCTCTGCCTCCTGGGTTCAAGCTAGCCTCCTGCCTCAGCCCCCCAAGTAGCTGGGACTACAGGTGTGTGCTATGATGCCCAGCTAATTTTTGTATTTTTTGTCGAGATGGGGTTTTGCCATGTTGCCTAGGCTGGTCTTGAACTCCTGAGCTCAAGTGATCCACCCACCTCGGCCTCCCAAAGTGTTAGGATTATAGGCATGAGCCACCATGCTGGCCCCACTGAGTATTTTAAATTGTAATATAATTTTTATTTTATGTTTTATTGGTATTTAATTGGCGCTTGAAAAATAGTGGTTAATTTCATAAAATATATGAAATTATTATGTTGAAAACAAAGCCTATCACTAGGCTTATTAGACTAACTTCTTGAACTTTTCTTGCATGTAACGTATATGTGGCATAGAAGACAGTTTGTAAAATACCTTCCAGGGAGTCAAAGGGTATTGTTCATGATATTTGGCAAACATTTCCTGTGTTGACTTGATTTTAATATAATGGTTTTAACAATTGTTTCTACTTTTTAAAGGACTTGGAAAACAGTGTGGGTGAACTTAGTGAAGGACAAAGACCCCAGCTAACAGCGGCAGCGGAAAACATCTTAATGGGACATTCTCTCTGTATGCAGCCACCTGTCACTAATGTACAGCCTTTGGATCAACAGTGTGATCCTAAACCATTATCTCGGCAGTTTGACGCAGTTTCAGGTATACACCAAAATATTTTTTCTTGATGTGTCATAGTAGTATCCCTAATCTAAGTTGAGAAAAGTATACCTATTTTCAGATGGGGGCTTGCAAAATTTCTTTATTAAAAGGGATTTTAATAATTGAAAAGTTTGGTGATAACTTTTTTAATAGTATATATAGCAGTGTTTCCCCAAATGTGATTCATATATCAATGTTGGTACTTGAACCAATGGGTGGTATGTGAATTAATTTTGGTAATACACATACATACACTTAAAACTTTTTAACTGTGATACTTTTATTTCATTTTATTTGCTTATTTGTTTATGTATTTATTTATTTAGAGACAGAGTCTCACTCTGTCACCCAGGCTGGAGTGCAGTGGCGCAATCTCGGCTCACTGCAAGCTCCACTTCCCGAATTCACGCCATTCTCCTGCCTAAACCTCCCGAGTAGCTGGGACTACAGGCACCCGCCACCACACTTGGCTAATTTTTTGTATTTTTAGTACAGACGGGGTTTCACCGTATTAGCCAGGATGGTCTCTATCTCCTGACCTCGTGATCCGCCCGTCTCGGCCTCCCAACGTGCTGGGATTACAGGTGTGAGCCATCACACCTGGCCTATTTTATTTTATTTTATTTTATTTATTTATTTATTTATTTATTTATTTATTTTGGAGATGGAGTCTTGCTCTGTCGCCCAGGCTGGAATGCAATGGCGTAATCTCAGCTCACTGCAACCCCTGCCTCCCGGGTTCAGGCTATTCTCCTGCCTCAGCCTCCCGAGTAGCTGGGATTACAGGCGTGTGCCACCATGCCCAGCTAATTTTTGTATTTTCATAGAGACAGGGTTTCACCCTGTTGGCCAGGCTGGTCTCAAACTCCTGACCTCAGGTATTTTGCCCGCCTCAGCCTCCCAAAGTGCTGAGATTACAGGCGTGAGCCACCGTGCCCAGCCGATGCATTTATTTTAATATGTACTAGAAAAATGTAACGAGTCCATGAAAACTGACATAACAGATCTTTAGGACAAGGTTAAATTAGATAATACTGTAGACATTTATTCCTTATACTATATGGATTTCAGTAGCACTTAGTGCATTCAGGACTATTTTAGAATTTAAATAAACTTTCTGTTGTGACACGTTAGAAATAAGGATAGAATAGAGAATACCAATCGCTAGCATGTATAGTTGACTCTCATCTATGGACCATTGTTATATTCTGTGGTTACCACAAACATATTAACAAATATTGAACCATTGCTCCTAGGATAAATACAGGATTAGGTTTCTGTGAGCCTCTGGTCATAACATTTTTATCAATTGATCAATATATAACCTGGTTTTATTTATGTTTCTGTTTAAAGAAATCTTATTTAATATATATTTTGGATTCATTAATATTGAACTCACAGCCATTGAACTATCCAGCAGTGTAACTTGTGCCTGAAGGAGGCCTATGTAACACATATATTTTCTCCATAAGACATAGCAGAAGAGCCTTTTTGTGCTTAGAAACACTAGACAGGCCGGGTGCGGTGGCTCACGCCTGTAATCCAGCACTTTGGGAGGCCAGGGTGGGCGGATCACCTGAGGTCAGGAGTTTAAGACCAGCCTGGCCAACATGGTGAAACCTCATCTCTACTGAAAATGCAAAAATTAGCCAGGCATAGTGGCAGGCGCCTGTAATCTCAGCTACTTGGGAAGCTGAGGCAGGAGAATTGCTTGAACTCGGGAGGTGCAGAGGGCAGAGGTTGCCGTGAGCCGAAATCGCGCCACTGCACTCCAGCCTGGGCAACAAGAGTGAGTCTTTGTCTCAAAAAAAAAAGAAAGAAAGAAACACTAGACAGTACCTCAGCGCTAAGGGGCCATTTTAAACAGTGAAATCACCAAAAAACAAACGAACAAAAAAACAAACAAAAACGTGAAATGTGAAAAACACAGCTTTACATATACTGTGAAAAGGTCACTTGTTTACAGTATGAAAGCTGAAATAAGGTGGAATGTATCCTTGTTCAGCATCAACTGGAAAAATGCATATAAGGCAATTTAAGTTTTTCACCACTCGTACGTGTCCACAAATGACCACAAAGGTGCTGCAAGTATTGATTTGGGGATTATAAATACATTTTAGCAAGTAGATAAATTTGCAAATATGTAATTTACAAATAAATGAGGATCTGCTATATTCTTATTATTGATTTTTAAATGCCCATTGCTTCTTTCTCTTAAGTGAAAAGAAACTTCTGGAGGCATGCAGATTTGCCAGAAATCAGAAAAGGAAAAGCCTGAAGTTAGAGTATTTAGTTTCATATTGAGTGAATACCTTGTATCGTTCAGAATTGGGAGAAGTTCGAGACTGAATTTCCCATGTGAATAAATGTAAAGATTGGCCTCATTTCTCATTTTGTACACATAATGAGAGTATTAAATGTTTTACATTCTTTAAAATTTATAGGATTCAAATAGCATGAAATGTGACTTACATTTATGTCCAGCTAAATGTGCAGAATGCAATTAAACAGAGTTAACACTAGGTGGCTCTCGCAGATCACTTGAACTGCTAGGTACTTAAGAGCTACTAGGTACCTGAGAGCAACTAGGCACTTAGTTGAAATGTTACGGAATAAACTCCCTGAGGAGATAGCCTCTCTGGTCCTTTCTTAAATTTCTGGTAACCCTAGCAGATTACCTATAGGACAGTGAATTTTTAATGTTAGATACATTGTAGGTATTTGTTTGATTGGAAAAAATAAGTAACATGGTATAACATAAGACTGAGCACATATGTAAGGCAGTATAGCAAAATAGCTAAGAGTTAGGCTTTGAGAGTTTCCAAAATGGGTTTGAATTCCAGCTCTGTATATCTTTGGTCAAGTAACTTAATGTTCCTGAACCCAAATTTCTTCATGTGTCAAGTGGGGATAATATTGCTATGTACAAAATTACCCCACATTTAACAGCTGAAGGCAACAAATATTTATTATCTCACAGAACTCTGAAAGTCACAAATCCGGTAGTGGCTTACCTGGGTGGTTGTCAGGATCTCTCCTGACGTGGCAGTCAAGATGATGGCTTGGACTGAGGTCATCTGAAGGCTTGACTAGTGTTGAAGGATCCACTTTCCAAGCTCACTCATGTGCCCTTAGCAAGAGGCTTCACTTCCTCACCATGTTAAACACTCCATAGGGCCATGAGTGATGTGGTAGCAGGCATCTCCCAAGAGAAAGTAAGCAATCAAGATGGAAACCATAATGTCTTTTTTTTTTTTTTTTTTTCTTTTGAGAGAAAGTAGCTCCTGAGTAGCTGGGACTACAGATGCACACCACCATGCCTGGCTGATTTTCATATGTTTTTGTAGAGATGGGGTTTTGCCATGTTGGCCAGGCTGGTCTCAAACTTCTGAACTCAAGTGATCCACCTGCCACAGCCTCCCAAAGTGCTGGGATTACAGGTGTGAGCCACTGCGCCCAGCTAATAATGTCTTTTATAACCTAATCTCCAAAGTGACATGCCATCACTTCTGTCATATTCCATTGATAACACAGACCAATCATGGAACAACTTAAGAGATGAGTTTAAAAAGGTGTGAATACCAAGAGGGCAGGGATCATTGGGGGCTATCTTGGAGGTAATAGTGTCTATCTCATTACGGTTATTAGGTACATGTATTTGACAATGCATGTGAAGTAGTAAGCACGGTGCTTGGCACATGGTGGTGTTCTCTTTAATAATGCTTGGAGCATGAAAAGTACTATCTTATATGTACTTCATAGAATCAGAAACTATCAACAGTTGACTAAAAGGACTTTGCCTATAGAAAACTAATTTGTTCCTCTTGTTTCAAGATTTTCTCCTGGTGACCACAGAATATAACTGTGGTCCATAGATGAGAATCAACTATATATGCTAGTGATTGGTATTGCTTTTCATCAACGTTGCTTACAGAGGGTCATCTATTCTTACTTTGCCCCTCCCCACCCCTGCTAATTTTCAGGAAATGTCCTATTTCCTGTAGTTCTCTATCACTGTCTCCATGCCTTAGGCTCTCAGGTTGGGTTGAGTAACTGAATGATGCAAAATTGGCTTTGAGGAGTTGTCTTGGGGACCCTAAAATGTAAGCTATAATTTGAATGAATTATATGTGGACCCTGGGATATACTACCAACTACAGCTTTTTATTTACTCAAAAAACCTGTATTGAATACCCACTGTATACCTAGAGCTGTGTAAGTACTGCATTAAGCATTCAAGATTCAAAGATGATAGATGTCTGCTCTCAAGACATTTACTAACTAGTGTGGGAGAAATAAATAACAATTATAATATTGTATGACTAGTACAACATACGGCTGTGGGAGTGCAGAGGAGGAATTCAACTCATTTGTGAGGGCTTAGAAAAGGTTTTCTGCAAGAGCCAATGTGAAATTGAATCTTAAGGGAATTAGCCAGATGGCAAATTGTAAGAATATTCCAGTTTGTTCATTTACCTTATTCAGAAGACATTTTTGAGTGCCTGCTATGTGCTGAGCATGTGCTAGGTGCTAGGAATATGAAACTTGGTAAGGCCCTGTTCACAATGATTGTTTTTTCTCTAGTAGACATAGTAGATAAGAAAGCAAAATCATGCAATAAATTACTGTAGTTATTGTGAAGAAGTCCATATAGGATGGATGTTCAGGTCAATTGTAGTTGAAGGGATTCAGGAAAGACTTCATAGATGAGGGAAGTCTTGCTTGAAGTGACTCCTCAAAGATGAATAAATGCTTGCCATGTGGTGAGTGAGGAGGGACCTTTCAGGCAGAATATGCAATAAGACAGGGAACAAAGGCAAAAAAAAAAAAAAAAAAAAAACCCCAAAAACAAACAAACAAAAAAAACAAGGGTTAATCACAGAAATGCAGTGTTTTTGTCAAAGTAGTAGAGCTTAATATGTAATGAAATTGCAGCAGGGAGCAGAAACCAGGTCATGAAAAGCCCTGGATGATCTGTTAAGGAGTACAGTACGGATCGCTTTGTATACAAAATGGGAAATAGTAAGTCTTACTTTATACTTATTCCCATGAACAGTTCAGTCTTAAGTTTCTGTCAATTCTGAATGTTGTGTGATATTCATCAGTCTGCTAAAGATTATAAATAAATGAGTGATATGATCATATTTACCTTTTATTTAGCAAGATCATCTGAGGTGCAATGTGATGGGTAGATTGGAAGAGTTAACACTGGATGCAAGGAACCTGATTAGACAACCATTAAAATTGACCTGATGAGATATTATTCAGTAGGGAAGATATATAAAAAGGGAGATTTGAGAGAGAATTAAGGAGATGGACAGGGATTCATTTGAGTGTGAGCAGTAAAAAAGTAGCAGAAAGTCTAAGAAATACCTAGGTTTCTGGCTAGAATTATTGGATAGATGATCATCTCAGTCACTGAGAGAGAACGAATATGGAGGAAGGACAGAATTAGGAGGAAAGAGGTGGAGTGGAGTTTATACATACTGAATGTGTGATGCCTTTGACTTTCATACAAATGAAAAAAATCTGTTAGATATGCCAGACCAAAAATTCTTGCTGGACTGGCAATTTTAGGCAAATTTAGTGTTCTCTAAAAGTCTGCCATGGTTGCTCTCCACTACAATAAAATCCTAGGAAAGCAAAATTAGGGATTTCTAGTTATGATTAATTAAATTAAATTAAATTCGACTTGATTGAAATAATATTTTAAAAATCCCTCTTTTAAAGGTCTAACTTGCATTATACAGGTGAGACACCCACACTCAGTGAGCCTGCTTGTTAGAAGACACAGCAAATTCAGCACTGTTATGATTGTTGTCATGGAATCCTTTCCTGACCCTTATCACTGGGTTAAATACCTGTCATATGTATAATTCTCTAATGTCACCTGCCTAATGTTGCTCTTATCACACTGATTTGTAATCTCACGTGACGGTGTGGACTTTATCTTGTTTACTGTCATATCCCTGTCACCTAGCAGGTTATGTAGTACACAGATCACAGTAAATATCTGTTAAATTATAGGATGGTATATGATGTGAAAGCTATTACACACTTTTTGAGTGCTTCCCACCACCACTTTTTTCCTGTCCCATGTATGCCTTATCCCAAGTAACCCATGTTAAGATTCTGGCATATAACCCTCCTGTTTTTTACCTCACACATATAATTTTATGCACACATGCATGTACAATATATATAGTGTGTGTGATTGCCATTATTTTACAACTTGAAATCATATCTTGCACACTTGACTGCATTTTGTGTTTTACGCAGTAAACCCTGTAGATTATTCCAGGTCAACTGGTATTACTTAAATTTGTTCATTTTAATGATTGCATACAACTTCATAGTGTTGATTTCCAATAATTTATTTAGTTGTTTCTCTATTGATGGATGTTTATTACCATTTCCCTGCACTATAAACAATGCTAGAGTAAGTATCCACACACGTATCCTACCAGATTGTTGTGTTTTATATACCCCTCCTTACTCCAGTGTATGTACTTCTGGGAAGCTCTTCTATACATGAGCAAATATATCTTTAGTTTGGAAATAAATAATGCCAAGTTGCTTTCTTGAAAGTTTAAACCAATGTATTTTTATCAGCAATTTATTAGTGCCCTTTCCTTACATCCCCTCCTGAAATTGTGTCGAATAGTTTTTTTATATGCCTCAGTAGAAATATGAAGATATGTTTCTGACTCCTGGTGAGTTTATATGTCTTTTCAGTCAGATGTTTGTTGGCCATTTGTATGTGCTCCTATAAAGTTCTTTTCCCATCTGGGAGGTTCGCAATTTTTCTTGTTATTTTTAAAGCTGTTTCTATAGTTTAGATGTTTTCTACTATTTGTATTGTAAATATTTTTATCCAAATTTATATTTTGTTCACTGACATTGTTGATCTTTTTTTGCCATATAATTTAAAAATTTATATATAGATATTTCTATCTTTTATACTTTCTGTGCTTTCATGGCTTAATCATGTTGCTATACTATAGAAAAAAGCTAATCATTTTTATCTATTTATCTGATATCCAGTCACATTACTACATTCTCGTATTAGTTCTAATAGAGTTCTTTTGTTTTCTTTTTTTTTTTTTTTTTTTTTTTTTTTTTTGAGATGGAGTCTCGCTCTGTAGCCCAGGCTGGAGTGCAGTGGCCGGATCTCAGCTCACTGCAAGCTCCGCCTCCCGGGTTCACGCCATTCTCCGGCCTCAGCCTCCCGAGTAGCTGGGACTACAGGCGCTGCCACCTCCCCCGGCTATTTTTTGTATTTCTTAGTAGAGACGGGGTTTCACCGTGTTAGCCAGGATGGTCTCGATCTCCTGACCTCGTGATCCGCCCATCTCGGCCTCCCAAAGTGCTGGGATTACAGGCTTGAGCCACCGCGCCCGGCAAGTTCTTTTGTTTTCATTAGAGTCTCTGGAATTTTCTAGGCATATACCGTATTATCAGCAAAAGAGTTTTCAATATCTTCGTTTTTAACATTATATATAATTCTTTTCTCTTAATTTATCTTAGAAAAATGTCGAAGAAGTCACATAGGAATAGAAAAAGGCATAACAGAATATAAAGAGGCAAATAAAGCCTGGAACATGAGTTACTTTAAATTATAGGTATTATTACCATTACTTAAATTAATCTCATGTTAGATAATTAAATGAGAATTAATCAGGTAATAATTTTGATAAATTGTTTTATACAGATTTAATGCTATAATAGTAAAAATCAAACCTCAATGCCTCTGGGCATGGTGGCTCACGCCTGTAATCCTAGCACTTTAGGAGGCCAAGGCGAGTAGATCACTTGAGCACTTGAGGTCAGGAGTTCAAGACCAGCCTGGCCAATATGGTGAAGCGCTGTCTCTACTAAAAATACAAAAATTAGGTGGGTGTGGTGGCACATGCCTGTAGTCTCTGCTCCTCGGGAGGCTGAGGCAGGAGAATCGCTTGAACCCTGGAGGCGGAGGTTGCAGTGAGCCGAGATTGCACTACTGCACTCCAGCCTGGGTGAGTGAGTCTCCATCTCAAAAAAAAAAAAAAATTAGAACTCAATAGATGTATTTTGCTTTATGTAAAACCCCATTGAAAACCTAGATTAATATAAAAGATCAATCAGAGTGATTATTTGCTATATCTAGGAAATTGTCAACAGAATGCCTTTAAATGGAAAATATCTATGGCGTCTTTAAAATATTTTTTCAGGCTGGGTGCAGTGCAGTGGCTCATGCCTGTAATCCCAACACTTTCGGAGGCTGAGGCAGGAAGATCACTTGAGCCCAGGGGTTTCAGACCAGCTTTGGCAACGTGGCAAAACCCTGTCTCTATTAAAAATACAAAAAGTTATCCAGGTGTGGTAGTGCACACCTGTAGTCCCACCCACTCGGGACGCTGAGGTGGAAGAATCACCTGAGCCTGGGAAGTCAATTATGCAGGGAGCCATGATCATGCCATTGCACTCCAGCCTGGGCAACAGGAGTGAGACTCTGTCTTTAAAAAAATAAAATAAAATAAAATAAAATAAATATATAAATTTTAAATATATATATTTAAAACAACTTGATTTGCATATAACTCCAGGTCTATTTCTATTGATTATATTTTAAAAGATTATCTAGCAAGACTGTGAAACAGAGAGCAGTGACTTAATTCCTTTGTGCTTCTTACTAGCTCTCTGATTTTGGACAGTTAGTTAACTTCTCTGAACCTTAGTAATGTCTGTGAGAGACAGTTACAATATTGTAACCTGTCTATCTTACAGAATGATTGTAAAGTTCAAATGTAATAAGATAATGTACTTGTATATGAAAGTGCTTGGAGTATATAGTGTAATACAAAGGTAGAGTGATGTTATTATTAGATACATAGATATCTCTGCTCTTGTCTTCTTTTTACTGATTTGACTGAGGTGCCATTTATTTATTTATTTGTTTGTTTGTTTATTTATTTTGAGACGAGGTCTCACTTTGTCACCCAGACTGGAGTGCAGTGATGCTATCTCAGCTCAGTGCAACCTCCACCTCTCGGGTTCAAGTGATTCTCCTGCCTCAGCCTCCTGAGTAGCTGAGATTACAGGCACACGCCACCACACCCAGCTAATTTTTGTATTTTTAGTAGAGACAGGTTTCATTATGTTGGCCAGGCTGGTCTTGAACTCCTCTCCTCAGGCGATCCACCTGCCTCAGCTTCCCAAAGTGCTGGATTACAGGCATGAGCTACTGCGCCCGGCCAGAGGTGCCGTTTAGATTAAAAAAAAAGAAGAAGAGCTTGATCACTTGAATAAAAAAATCCACAGAATAGAGCTAGGCAGTACCAACATTTTCCAGGCAGGAAATTGCCCTTTGCTTTAAGATTACCTTTTAGATAGAAAGTATTCTATTGACTCTTAGAGATAGGAACGGTAAGCAGGAGTGTTAAGAGTTCGTATGTGGGAAGGAGGCTTCAGATGAACTGCATGGACAACTTGTTGATTGAAACTTTACGTAGAATATTGCATGGATTTGTTTGAACATAGGTACTTTTTGCATTCTCTCTGAGTTTCGGTTTTAACTGCAGTGAAGGCTTGGTCCGGGTGTCTTTGTTTGAAGTACACTGCTAGTTCTAATTCAGCAGGTGAGACATCTTGGTAGTTTTAGTCAACTACTTGTTCATTTTTGAAGATAAATTTAACAATTTATTTTAACTTTTTGTTTACATTTTTGATAATAGGTAGTATTTATGAAGATTCATGTGCTAGTCATGGTCCAATGAGTTTGGGAGAATTGGAGTTGGAGCCAAATTCTAACCTTGTTCTTCCCACAACACTTCTGACATTACAAGAAAATGATGTTAATTTACCAGTAGCCGCTGAAGATTTTTCCCAGGTACCAAATTAGTAGCACTTATATTTTACTTAAAATGAGAATTGAAACAATATTGCCTTAGCATGGTACCCCGTCAAGAGCCAAGCCTCTGAAGTCAGATAGCTTCAAATCATGCCTCCTTTATTTCCTAACTCAAGCCTGAATATAAATCTTAGTTCACCTAAGCTGTGCCCTTGAACATATTAGCCCCTTTTAAGCCTTAATTCCCTATCTTTAAATTAAAGAATAAAAGTAACGGCCAGGTGCAATGGCTCACACCTGTAATCCCAGAAACTCTAGGAGGCCGAGACAACGGATCACTTGAGTCCAGGAGTTTGAGACCAGCCTGGGCAATGTGGCAAAACGCCATCTCTACAAAAAATACAAAAATTAGCTAGGCTCCTGTAGTTCCAGCTACTTGGGAGGCTGATGTGGGCAGCAGATTGCTTGTGCCCGAGAGGCAGAGGTTGCAGTGAGAGCAGATTACACCACTGTACTGTACTCCAGCTGGGTGACAGAGTGAGACTCTTGTCTCAAAAAAGTGAATAAATAAATAAAACATAAAAATAATATATATAAAAGTAAGGTAGCTATTTAATTTACATCTCTGTATCTGCATACACTACCTAGCTTAGTAATTTGCACAAAGTAAGTGCTCGATAAGTGTTTATTACATTGAAATTTGTAAAAAGTGTTTCATAAGAAATGTATTGCATAAGAAATTTAATACTGAGTGAAGCCAATGGCCCATGCAATCTCATGTACTGAAAAAATAGGTTACTCACCAAGATGTTAATCTAAAAAAGTTCAATATTAAATAGTTTTTTATTTGTGTATTGGCAATTTATTACTCATTTTGAAGTAATTTATGAATAAGTATTCATGGTATTGTGCAGCAGTACATATGTTAAGGATGAAACCAAAAAATATGTAAGATAAAGATTGTGGAACACATGATTATGTGGGGTTCAGTATTACCAACCTGTGACCAAGCAATGATTAGGAAAAATTAGTTAATAATGAAAAAGTATGTTAATAACTTCAGTATGAAAAAATTTTTTGTGACCATGATTAGGCAAACATTTCTGGGATATGATACCAAAGGTACTATCTGTGAATAATAATTTTTTAAATTGATCTTATCAAAAATAAGAACTTCTGTTCTTCAAAACACAGTTAAGAGAATTAAAAGGCAAGCCACTGACTGGGAGAAAATATTTACAAATCTCTTATCTGATCAAAGACTTGTGTTCAGAATATATAAGGAGCTTGCATAACTCAGTATTAAGAGAACAAACAATCCAGTTTAAAATGAACAATAGATTTGGACCAGTACTTTACCCAGATATATGAATGGCAAATAAGCACATAAAAAGATTCTCAGCTGGGCATGGTGGCTCACGCCTGTAAGCCCAGCACTTTGGGAGGCCGAGGAAGGTGGATCATGCGGTAAAGAGATCGAGACCATCCTGGCCAACATGGTGAAACCCTGTCTCTACTAAAAATACAAAAATTAGCTGGGTGTGGTGGCTTGTACCTGTAGTCCCAGCTACTTGGGAGGCTGAAGCAGGAGAATCCCTTGAACCCGGGAGGTGGAGGTTGCAGTGAGCCGAGATCGCGCCACTGCACTCCAGCCTGGTGACAGAGCAAGACTCTGTCTCAAAGAAAAAAAAAAAAAAGATTCTCAGCAGAGTTAGTCATTAGGAAAATGCAAAATAAAACCACAATGAGCTACCACTACATATCCATTAGAATATCTAAAATCTAAAAGACTGTCATGCCAAGTGTCGGCAAGGATGTGGAGCAACTGAACTCTCATACTTTGCTGATTGGGAATGTAAAACGATCCAACCCCTATGGAAAAGATCTTGGCCATTTCTTAAAAAATACACACCCACCATATGAACCACGCATTTCACTCCTAGTTTCTCAAGAGAAACTAAAACATATATTTACACAAAGACATGTACATGAATGTTCATACAACTTTATATTTGTAGTAACCAAAAACTAGAAACAACACATTGTCCATCAACTGGTAAATGGACAAATTGTGGTGTATGCTGTGCAGTGGAATATTAGCAATCAAAAGGCATGAACTATGAATACAAACAATAACATGGATGGTTCTTACAAAAGTTATGTTCAGTAAAGAAGCCATACCAAAAACAAACAAAAAAAATCACTCTGATTTTATTTATATAAAATTTTAGAGAATGCAAACTAATTTATAGTAATAGAAAACATTTCAGTTCTTTTTTGGGGACAGTAGGAGGTAGAGGTGGGAAGGGCAAGAGGGAGAAGATAAAAGGGTGTGAGAAAACTTTTGAGATTGATGGATATGTTTATTGTATTATCTTGATTGTGGTGATAGTTTCATGGGTTTATAGGTAGGTCAAAACAGCAAATTGGACACTGTAGATATGTGCAGTTTATTGTCTGTTATGTATATCTCAATAAAACTTTCAAAATAAAAGTTTACTTCCTTTTAATTGATGGCTTGTTTTAGAATAAAACTATAAAGTGTTACCAGAAGAATGGGCCTCAAAAAATTCCTTTGTTAGATTTCTTTAGCTGACAGGGACGTATGGTTAGTAATAATGGCACACATTTATAGTGCTAAATGCTGTTCTAAGTTTTTTATGTATTTTAACTCATTTAATCCTTATAACAGCCTAATGAGGTAGTTATTATTATCCCTATTTCATGAATGAGGAAATTGAGGTATTAAGCAGTTAAATAACTTGCCCAAGGTCAAAGCTAGAAAATGCCTTACCCAGATTTGAACACAGGCAGGTTAGCTCCTGTGTTCATAGCTCTTATTCACTGTGAGTAAGCAAGGAAACCACTAGAAACGTTCAAAGTCTCAGCAGCCAGAGCCAGAGGTAGTCCTAGTACCCATCTTAGAAATACACACCAAGATAATATTTCCTTCGAGGCAGAAACATACATGACTAACAGCTCTAAACTTGAAAGACCAGAGTTAAGACTAGTTATTACTACTGTAGCTTAGAGCTACTCATTTTTACCCCTAGATAAAGAGGATGCTTGTCAAAGGTGCGGTGATTACATTGTGTCCATGTGGACAGATGTTTCAGATTCTTCTATGGTTGTATTTATTGACAAGCGTTCAGGGATTTCTTTTTAAGTTCCTGTTAAAGCTGTTTTCAGGGGCTCCTGTAATAGCTGTTTTCAGGGGCTCTTTATAATTAAGCTCATAAAACAGGAAAGAGAAGAAAGAAAATCACACAATTTGTGATGTGTGATTATGAAGAGATTTGTGACTAATGTAAATTTCAAATTTGATTATGTTATAGGTAAGGGAGAGACATGATAGTGCTTATGATGGAGCGTGTGTTTCTTGAATGGCAAATGGAACATAACAATACCTACTCACACTTCTGAGAATTAAATGATGTTACTATATATAAAAGCTCTTCGAAAATTGCAGTGCATTATGCAGATTTTCATTTTATGCAAAAAGTGGTTATATGGAAGAGTTTGCTGCCAAATTAAGTTCTTATCCTGTCTAAATCCATTATATGTATATAAAGTAGTTTAATTCATAAGTAGCTCTGAATTTTCTAATAAAAATAGAAATGACTTGAATATTTGAAATCTGTATATATGATCCTAATCTTTTTAAAGTTTTTTTTTGCAACATCTTTTCTTTTGTGATATGTACCTCATCACCTATTTATCGGTAGAAGTGCTAATACATAAATGGCAATAAAAAGCAACTAGACAGCAAGCATATTATTAAAATTTTATAAACACTTGAATAATTTGACTTCTCAGATTTTTTAAGTAACTAAAAAATATTATGACTTCATATCTTAAATTATTTAGTACCAACAAAAGCGAAATCAGGATGTTAAGCAAGTCGAACACAAACCATCACAAAGTTACCTACATGTTACAAATAAATCTGATATTGCACCATCACAGCAACAAGGTAAGACTTGTTTTTATGTAGTAATATAATAGTTTGATACTTGTCTGGATATTGAACAAATATAAGAATTCTTTACTTTTGTATACATCCCACTGCTCTCTAGGTTTTTGTTTTCTTTAGTTTTCTCTCATTTAGTCCATTTAGATGAAGAATCGGTATTGTATTTGACTGTAAATTAGTTTGTTATTTTTACCAGTAAACACTATTTCTAGTAGATTTTTAAAACTCTTAGCTGGTGTCTTTCCTTTACCCTTACCTTTTAGTTCTTGTTCAATTGAATACCAAGGTCTTTTTATCTGTACATAGGTCTATTTGAAATTATAATATGTTAAAGACAGGAATTATGGCTGTTAATATGCTTTGTAAAGCACATTATTTAGTGCATGGTGTTGTTGACCAAGTGTAACTTAAAAACAATTGCCTCTCATGTTACATACTATTGATATGGATGACCTTAACTGTTGTTTATCAAACTTGTGTGGTTACCTTTCATTCCAGCGTATAAGCATTTTGATATTGTCTCTATGTTTCTGCAAGGCTGTTGGCCTCGTGCTTTGTTTGCCATCTTGCTTCTTAGTTATTTACATTTTATATAACCTAAAATCTGAAATTTTACAGTAGAAATTAAGATATCTTCTGTTTAAAAAGTTTCTGCCACAATCCTGGAAGAAGTATTAGGAATAGTTTGAGAAGTAGAATTTTTCTTTTTTGCTTTTATAACTGTGATTTTTATTTAATTTTCAAATAATACTTAATTGAGCAAATGCATATTATTGAATGCCAGTATAATTGCAAATGTAACTATGCATTTGTTGTTTTGGGAAGGACCTAAATGAGGATATGCTCAAGAGAGTAAGATTATGCCACTTAAGGTTCAGGTTTTCAGTCTTCCATTTGTTGTCTATTCCCCTCGTGCTCCAAGTTTTCAGAACTTTGTCCTCCTGACCCTTTTTTTTTTAACCTCATCGTAGTATGTTAATATTAATGTACTGTGGAAAATTGCCTATAAAACTCTTCTTATGGTGATTTAAAAATTAATCATGATAGTATATCGATATGGAAAGATAAATGTTTCTCAGGTAATGTCAGAATTTACTTCTTGTTCTTCAACTGAGTCTTCATTTATGAACTATCCTTCACAGTCAATGATAGTTTCTTTAATGTTTTTAAAAATTAATCATTTTTGACATTATAAATGAATTTCATTTTCTTGGGGATGTTATATGTAATGAAATAATTATTTTTCTCAGCTGATAGGAAAATATCTCTGGTAAAATGTTAGCTGGTGGAAGGAAGTTTTATGTGGAAAGGGTTTACAACAGTTGGATTTAATACATTTGAAATGTTTTGCGTTGCATTTTACATCTAGTACAAAAGTTAGGAGAGCAGACCTCTACCAGCCTTGACTAAGACAAATAAATAGCAGTGGGCTATAAAGAGAGCATTTTAAATACAGGCCAAGTCTTTCACTCTATAATGATACATATCTTTATACTGAAAATTTCTTGAATGAATATGATTGACTTGGCAAATATAGTCAGTTATGACATTTTTTCCCATAGATTTTGTGGGTTTTATTTTTTTTTCTCTGATGAAACTCTGAGACATTGCCAGATGTTCCAGAAAATAGAAGTCAGAGTGCCAAAATAATTCTCTGGAGCTCTCAGGACTTTGGGTGACCTTGAAGGAATTCAATCCTCTCATACATAGAAACCTTGAAGATAATGAAGGAAATTCACCTTATCACAAGGGAATTAAAACCACATCTTTTCTAGCAGATAAATGCTTCCAAGAATACTAGAACCCCAAATTTTGGCTATTTCAGGGGGAAGTATCATGTATTTCACTTGAAATGTGTAGTTTAATATATGTCTACAAAGAAAGAAGCAGTAGCAGCTGTTTTAATGATCATCCATTAAAAATTAACTGAAGAATGGTAGGACACAGATTCTAGCACCGTATTGCTAGGAACTTAGTAAAGTACTTAGTTTTTTTCTCCCTTGACTATTACTTTCAGATTTTAATATAAAAGAGAGGAATTCATTGTTCTGACAAACGATATCTTTGAAGCCTTTAAGAGTAAAAGCTTTTTATTTGGTATTGAATTTATTGGTTCTATCTTTGACCACATGATACCACTTATCTGATTCTATGTACTGATTAATGTATCTAACAGTTTTACAGTGAAAGTGCTTTTTTAAAAAAGTATTTGAATAGTCATTTCTATTTTTCCCCCTTTCCTGTGCAAGTTAATTTCTACTCATCTTTTGCTATACAAGTTAACTTTCATCAGTACAAATGAGAGGCTAGTTATAAGTCAATTTATTTGTGATGAGCCCAGGAATAATTAAATTCTATGAAGTAATATATTAAAATAGTATACTTTAAAAATTATTTTCCTTCTTTTTTTCTCTTTAAATTTTAAGACCATCATAATACATTATCATTACAAAGTCAGACATACTATATACTACTACCAGTCAGTGGGGGGAAAAAAGAGTCATATGTTTTATGATAAAATGCTGCCATAGGTTGGATTGTCAAATTTGCTTGAAAAAAATCACAGCAGTTTTCAGTTTTTCTTATTTGTAGATTACACATGTTACTCAGAAAATAAGTATCAAAGTGCTAAAAGTAATAAGTGTAATTGCTGTTATTTGTCAAAATCAGTTTACATTTTTGTGGGAAACACAGAATCACAAATGTTTCTTTCTGGCAATGTGTCCTGAGTTAAATTCGAGCCAATTTAGCACCTTTTATACTCATATAACTGTGATGATGACTTTAAATGTGTAAATAGTAGAAAATTCAAACTTATATATTCTTAGAAGCTATTTTTGACCACGTGTGCAAATAATTTTTCTTTTTTAATAGAACGGTGCATTTTTTGCCTTTGTATTTGAAATTTAGCTAAATTACAATAGCGATCAGAACTATAGTTGACCTTAGTAATTTCAAAACCATAGTTAAAAGAGTTTTACGTTGATTTTTAAAAATCTTAAGATATGATAGGGATTTCAAAACTATTTGTGTAGATCTCTGATAGGGAGGGGTTGGGGCACAGACTAATAAATGTGCCAAAAATATGTGAATCCAGATGTGTAACAAGCATTGTCTGAATAAATGTGTTTTCCACAAATCCATGCTATTGATTAACAAAAAATAAATTCACTTTGAAATGTTGCTGAATTTGGTAGTTTTGTTTCCACTTAGGATGAGGAAATTGGAAAGAGTGTCACTTTCACCCTAACTATAATAAAATGTCAGATAAACTTCAAAATCATTAACATTTCTTGAACCTATCAGAGAGCTTCTGATGCAGAGCAACTAAGTAGCCTAAAGTCCAAGGAAAGACAGACTCCTCCAAAAAGAGATGAGACACAAGCACTGTCTCACTTGTGACAGAGCACAGTCACAGAAAGAGACACCAGGCACCAATCAAGCAGATAAGAAGTATTTGGTTAAACTTTGTAGTGGGTTGCTAAAGGCCAAGTATAGAACCATTGGTAGTCACAGATACAAGTGGAGTTCACACCCACTTGTAGGCATCTTCTGCACAGACCTCTAGAGAAAGATTGTGGGGAAAGGCAGAGAGTCTCCCTCACTGGTGCAGGCCTGAATGAAGGAAGTGACTGTCACTGCCAGAAAGGCAGGATGCCCACTTTGACCCTTCTCCTTTAAGAACAAAAGCCTTAAGCCATTGAGGAAGGGCCAACACATCTGTTATTTCTAGGGTATAGGTGAAAACCTATTGTGGCTGGGGGAAGGGTACAGGAAAAAAAGAATCCACTCCTGGTGGAGAAGAAGGAAATAGTCTTGTCCCACAATCTTTTATCAGCACTATTAGAAGTTTCTTATTGTTGGGGGAGTGGTTGGAAACTGTCCTGCACAAAATTTGCCAAAGGGACAAGGCAGAATTTAAAATGTCAGTTCCCTCTAAATTGATGTATAGATTCAGTGCAATCTCAAAAACATTCCCTCAGGGATTTTTGGGTAGAAGTTGACAAGCTAAATCTAAAGCTCATAAGAAAATGCAGAGGACCTAGAATAGCCAAAATAACTTTTAAAAAGAGAAATAAAGTTGGAAGATTATACTATATAACTCTAAGACTTATTATAAAGCTACAGTAATCAAGACAGTGGGGTACTGGCATAAATATCAATGGGATAGAATAGAGAATTCAAAAAAAAGTCCACACATTTATGATCAGTTGATCAATTGATTTTTACCAATGGGAAAGACAATTCAATGGAGAAAGGATAATCTTTTCAACAAATGGTATTTGGACAGAGCTCATCTATATACAAAAGAATGAACCTCAATCTGCATTTCACAAACATACAAAAATGAGCTAAAAAATGGATCATAGATCTAAATGTAAAGCCTAAAACTACAAAACTTCTAGAAGAAAATATAGGAGAAAATTTTTCTTTGTGACCTTTGGTTGGGCAGAGATTTCTAAGATATTGCAGAAACTATTGATAACTGGACTTAATCAAAATAAAAGTTTCTGTTCTTCAAAAGACAGTGTTAAGAGAATGAAAAAGGACAAATCACAGACTGGAAGAAAATATTTGCAAATTTGCTTTCTGATGAAGTAGTTACGTCCAGAATATATTTTTAAACCTTACAAAACTCAACACTAGGAAAACAAACAACCCAATTTTTAAAATGGATAAAAGATTTGAACAGATACTTCACCAAAAAAAGATATTTGTATGGCAAATAAGCACATGGAAAATTGTTCAACATCGTTAGTAATTGGGAAGATGCAAATTAAAAATTAAATACTGCTGAATACCCATTAGGTTGACTAAAAGCAAAGAAACTGATACTACCATGTGTTGATGAGGATATAGATCAATTCTAATTCTGATACATTGCTGGTGGGAATGAAGAATGCAACATGCACCTTGGAAAACTGATAGTTTCTTATAAAATTAAACATAAATTTACCATATGACTCAGCAGTCCATTGCCTATGTATTCACTCAAGAAC